AATCTCAGGAACACCGCTTTACCTAAGTAATCAGACCTATCATCACCAAAATAGGACAAGCTATACAATATCACTTATATGATAGTCTTCAACAATGTTTAACCTGAATCTAATCATGAGGAGACAGACATCAGATACATCCAGACTGCAGGCCATTCAACAAGATAGGTAGGCTGGACTCTTCAAAATGTCAGTGCTATGAGAGACCAAAAGTGTTTTAGACCAAATGAATCTAAAAGAGACATGTAAATATACTTTGAGATCCTTGATTGAATCCTGGATTAAGACAATTGGCAAACAGCTATAAAGAACATTAATAAGAGAAATTTGAATATGTACTTTACATTAGATAATAATTGTATCAAAGTTAAATTCATCGGGTGTGCTGATGGCATTGTGGTTATAAAGGAGGATTTGGGGGTTCTTAAGGGATATATGTAAAGTAGTTAAGGGTAAAGCATCATGATGTCTGCAACTTTGAAATGGAAAAAGTATAAATGTAGAAAGATAAATGGGACAGGTGTTAATTACTAAATCTAGATGAAGGGTATATAGATATTCAGCATGCTGCTCCTTCAACTTTAATGTAGCTTGAAATTTTTCAAAAATAAAATGCTAGGATAAATGAAATACGCGCTGTAGTGGACAGCAGTAGCTTCATGAAGTCAACTCCATTTGACCAGGGCCTTGAAATAGTACTAGGAGATGGATAGAGAGAAGGGACGAAGGCCATCGCAAGACAGAGGTGGGAATGAGCGCAGCATCTCCTAGGATTCCATAGAGGTAGACGAAAGGAGACAAGTAATAAGGGGTGAATTTCAAAAGGTAGTTGGATCCTCAGGATGAAAGGCCTTTAAAACCAGGCTATTGCATGCACATCTGATTTAGTAAGGAGAGAAATTGTAGGTTCTTGATGGGGGAGTAGGAGGAAGAATAGTATTTGGAGAAGTTAGTCTGTTGTGGTAGAGTGCTCAATGGACTGGAGAGTGGAAGTGAGATTTTTTTTTTTTTTCCCAGTAATCCAGGCTTGAGGCAGTGGACATGTGGCTTAAAGAGATGAGTGTCAATGATAAAGAAAGGAGGATAGCACTCTGGGAGGCTAAGGCGGGAGGATTGCTCGAGCTCAGGAGTTCGAGACCAGCCTGAGCAAGAGCGAGACCCCGTCTCTACTAAAAATAGAAAGAAATTAGCTGGACAACTAAAAATATAGAAAAAATTAGCTGGGCATGGTGGCACATGCCTATAATCCCAGCTACTCAGGAGGCTGAGGCAGGAGGATCGCTTAAGCCCAGGAGTTTGAGATTGCTGTGAGCTAGGCTGACGCCATGGCACTCTAGCCTGGGCAACAGAGTGAGACTCTGTCTCAAAGGAAAAAAAAAAAAAAAGGACCTCTAGGTCTCTTTGACTGGATATAAATGATAGCTGAGTAATTGGGTCAGAAAATCTGTCTGTGGTGCCATTTGGAAAGTGCAAATTTGGGGGGAAATTCACTCTCTAGGGCCTTCTCCATACCCCCAGGTTTAGGCTGAGTGAAATCTGAGCTCTGCTGCCAAATATTGATGAGAATGTCATTGGGAAGAGGCAGAGCCCAACATGAAAAGTCTTTTTTCCCCTCTGACCAGACTCCATTTCATGCCAAACCACCTTCCTCTCTCCTTTTCTTCCTCCCTTCTCAGATTTTAACCCTCCAAGGTCTTCCTCCCAAATCTGTGCTCAGACTCAAAACCCAGCTGACCCAATAGTCTGTCCATTCCTTCTGTGTACCAGGCCTGCCTCCTATAGATATTTCTTCTTCCTCCAAGTCAGTAGTAGTTTTCCCTCCTTTAAGGTCTCAGAGAGAAAAATATTTTTTTGCATCTGTTGCAATTATGCGTATGTTACACTCTCCTTGTTCCCCATGTACCTGCCCTAACCTGTGATTTATTTTTAAAGGAACTTCCCATGACTGCTGAAATGATCTTTGTCCATGCCCCTAACATCCTCTACGCTAGGTACCTTTGCTTCATTTGCCTTTGATTATGTGGAACTCCTCATGCCCCAGCTAAAATGCAAACCAAACCAGGTTAAGAGTTACCAGGTTCAAAATGCATCTTCTGGGCTTCAGTATGAACATAGGAAGCCAGCTCCCTGCCAGGGTCAGTAAGAACAAGGCAAGGAGGAGGCCTGAGGTGTCTCAAGATAAAATGGGCTTTCTGTTAAGGCAGTGAGGAGGAGGAGTTCATGCCCAGTACAGGTTGCCCTGTGGTGGGGTGTTGTGGACACTAACAAAGACAGCAGATGGGACAAAACATCTTTAAAGGTCCCTTCCAAGAATTCATCTTTCATTAGGGGGCTGTTTGTATGTTTTCCTCATTCACTAGCTGCACATCACTGTGTCTTATTCATTTTTGTATCCCTGGTGCCAGACAGTGTCTAGAGCAGTGCTGTCCAGTAGAACTTTCTGCAGTGATGGAAATGTTCTATAATGTACTGTCCTACATGGTAGCCACTTAGCCATATGTAGCAATTAAGCACTTGAAATGTGTCTGGTACCATCAAGAAACTGAATTTTTAATTTTATTTTAAAATTTAGCCACTTGTGGCTGTTACATTAGACAACACAGGTCTGGATTCTAGAACATAACATAACTTTTATTAAATGGTGTACTAAGCTGAATCTTTACCCTAGATGGGAAGGTGGGGAGTAGACAGGGAATGATGGAATAGGGTCATTTGAAGAAAGCCAGAAGGTTGCACCTTCTGGAAGTTTACTTTTTTTTTCTGGCAGGAATAGGGTACAGTAATAGGGAATAGAGTAGAAAGAACATGTAAGAGGAAGGAGCAGTGTGGGCACAGACAGAAGCCAGAAACCATCACAAGTGAAAGGAGAATAGTGAAGATCAGGGACCAAGAATAGGCACGAGCCCCTACTATAGTAGGCACTGGGGACCCTCTCTGCTTTCATGGACCTTCCGACCTGTCTACAGCTTTACAGACAAGTGAATAGTTCCTTTGGTATTTGTGTCTCAGGAAGGATAGGCACTGGGAGCTGTGGAGGACACCAGAGGGCGCTTCCCTGGGCAACAGGCAGTGCTTCCTGTTAGATGCTGTGGCGAATGGCCTAGCTTGGATGCAGATGACCTTTCTCCTGAGTACAATGGGGAGGCTCTAAAAGGTTTTAAGCAGTGACATGACATAGGCAAATTTGCATTTTGGTAAGCTCACTGCTGTGTTGTGTCCAGTTTCCACCCCTGGGTCATTTTTAGCTCTATTATGGTTGTTCTTTTGAACCAACCATCTCCAATGTCTTGTCTGGTTTATGTCGTGTTTTGTTTTTCTTTCTCTTTCTTCCTTCTTTCCTGCGCATCACTCTCTCCTGGGCCCCACGCTCTCTTCTTCCTTGATGTCTTCCTTTCTCTGATCCAAAGATCAGCCAGTAAAAAGCAGTCTCACCTGTCCAGGTAAGAGGGGCGCCACTGTGAGGGGGGAACAAGACCCCTCCTTTATGTTTTACACATTATTTATTTTTTGAATAGATCATACCTTCATGTGGTTAGAATTTAAAGAGTACCAAAGAGAATATAATGAAAAGTCCATCGTTCTATTCCTGTGTCCCAGCCACCCAGTTTCCCTCCTCGGAGGCAACCAATGTCATATGTTTCTTTTGTATCCTTCCAGAGATGTTTTAGATATTTTTGCATATGTAAACAAATATTTAAACATGTAAACATAATTTTTTTCTCTCTTTTACCCACTTTTTTTTTTACTGTCCAAATGATTCTGTACCTTGCTTTTTTCCACTCGATAATGTATCGTGGAGATCATTCCTTATCATATATAAAGAGTTTCACCATGCTTTTATATGGCTGAGTTCTGTTACTATACTGCTATACTGTAATTTGTTTAACCAGTCACCCATTGTGGACATTTGGATTATTTCTACTGTTTTGCCGTTATACACAGTGCTTCCATGAATAGCCGTTTATTTAGTTAGTTGATATAGAGAGGGTAGGAATTGCCTCTTTCTGAGGGGCAGCAATTGTTGATTCAGAAATTGGGAACTTACACGCTTTTCTAAAAAGCAGGGCCACAGCAATGATTTGAATTTTTTCTGTTCCTGTAGCAGTGCTAGTTAAAGAGGAGATAAAGCAGTAAATCTGGTTGGTGATCTGTGGTACTTTGAGTTTTTAGAGTCTTTAAAAGTTTCTCAGCAAGGTGCCTTGGACTGGCTGTGGGAATGGGGCTGAATATGGGGTTGGAATACTACCACCAAACAGATCAGATTCCTGTTTTTCCATGGTACCCAAAAGATAAATGGAATTTTCAGAGGCTCGGGCCATTGCTGTACCCTCCTTTCTAGAAAAGTGTGCAAGTTACCAGTTACCCAACTGGCTAGTACTAAATGCCCAGTTACCCTCCTGGAGACTGTTATTTTGGAGAGGTGGAAGTTTGAGGGACAAAGAGATGAAGCTAAAATGGGGAGCTTGTGTCTGCTACAGCCACTGCAGTCCTCTGCTGTGTTCACATAGGCCTCTGTATGTGTTTGACTTGCCACATCCTTCCCTCCAGCCTCCCGTTCCTTTGCAAATCATCGCCTAAAACTAACTGGCTGTTTGATTTTCTCCTGTCTTTTTCTTGCATTCATTTTCTCTGCTGCTCCGTTCTGTTTCATCAGCCCCATTGCAGCCTGGTAAGACCCAACAAGCGTGTGTATGTGTGCACATCCCCTTCTTGCTATTGTCTCTTTGTCACCTGACTCCAGGAAGGGCTATTTCCCTTCATACCTTGCTGGGTATTAAAGAGATCATGCTTGCCCCACCATCCCAGGATTCCAGATAGGTGGTGTTACCAGTAGTGTAGACATGGCTAATCTCCTAGCAGATTGAGCAAATTGCAGGGGGGGATGGGTCAGTCTTTCATTATCCAAGATTCAGGGCCCCCTTTGACAGAGCCACCTCCTACTATAAGGCTGATCCCTCCCTGCCCAGCTCATAGATGTGCTTTCCTTACTCCTTCTTCAGGTTAAGTAGCCTGTCTTCTCTGGGAGATTCTGCACCTGAGCGCAAGTCCCCTTCCCACCATCGCCAGCCCTCTGACACCTCTGAAACAGCAGGTAACCTTCTTCTTGGGCATTAACACGTAGACACAAAGGTGTGCACCCATACAGACACACCTGTATGCCCCAAATGTAAAGCCTTTATGTTGAGCACATAATATATACTAGGCATTATGTTATAAATTTTATATAAATTGCCTCCTTACATCAACTGTAGACAGTAGGTTTTATTATCCTTATTTTGCAGATGAAGAAGCTGAGGCACACAGGGGTTATAAGAAACTGGTCCAAGTGCACAAGCTTGTTGGGAACAGAATCAGGACTTGAAACCAGTTCTGTTTTAACTCTAGAACCCATGCTCTAATCATTACAGGATGCAGTCATGCACAGCTGCACACGGGCATGATGTCTAGTACGCACTCACGGAGATGGAGACAGTTGTTACGCATAGCCTCTGTTCCTTTATTTTTTTTTAAGTTTTGTATATGATGTTAGCGTGAATAAAAGGTTTTTCTCCTGTCATTTATCCTTCCTTGCATTTGGCAAGTGACTACCCCTGTGTCACCCTGAATGAGTTACCCAGCTCTAGAAGAATAGTCAACAGCGTTGATGTCCTACCTGCTACATTCATTGATGTAACTTGACATAAAACTTCCAGTCTCACTTGGGCTTCAGTCCCAGGGGTGGGGGGCTGCTTATCTGTAATTTTAGTCTTCAGGAGGATAGCTGGACGTGGCCCTGCCTCTTCTTTGGCCAATCTCTCCCAGACAAACCAAAGGGACAGACATGTACAAGAGAGACAAGCATTTCAACATCTCAGAGAAGGGTAATTTCTTGTACGGAATACAAAGTAAGTTACAGGTTTTTGCCAACCACTGAGGGAGGCATGTCATTGTAATAGTGTGTTTCGACAGGATAAGTCTGGGGAATTTGGTTAGTCTGGAAAGGCATCTTCAGGAACAAATGTACTGAGGCTTTTTGGGTTGGTCTTGGCTTATGTGCACTAACCTTCCAGTGACACTGCTACCAGAGTCCTCTCTTTGTCTTTCTCACTTCCCGCCAGGTCTTGTTCAACGCTGTGTCATCATCCAAAAGGACCAGCATGGCTTCGGCTTCACAGTCAGTGGGGATCGCATCGTTCTGGTGCAGTCTGTGCGGCCTGGTGAGTGCTATATCCCTCCTGCCTGCAGTGGACGGTTCTTACAAAGCCACCATATATGTGACAGTGCCACACGACTTGGAGAACCTGTGCTTTCCTGAGGGTCTAGGGAGCCCTGGGAGGCACAAATGAATTAGTCTAGAACTGGTTCTTCCCGAGCATCAGGGAAAGTCTCCACAGTATAGAGCCACTAGGCAGAATTTCTAGGAATTGTACTTCATGCTTGATCCCCACTTGGGAAGTGTAAAACCAACAGAATAGCCCTCAGGTCATCAGGCAGAAGTCTGATTGCCACATAAGGGAGCCCCACACACTGGGTCATACATAAGATGCCACGGAGGAATCAAAGTCCCCCTACCTTCACATTACCTGACTAAATGCAAAAACAGTCGGTCACTTTCTACAGGAGTTCATAATTTGAGACAGGTACACTGGTCCAAGTGGTTATAGAACACATTTGCAGATACAATTAACGTTAAATAATAAATTACCAAAAGATAAATGATGTGTGTCGGACATTACATTGGAGGAAGTGGTATTTGGAAGTTTGTTTGGGTAGTTTGTGGTTCAAAGCATAGTCATATTCCTTCTGATTGGTTTGGAAAGCCCTCTTAAAAAAAAACAGGATTTCAGAAGTAGTTTGAGAGATGGAAATGAAAAAATAGATTACCAAGATAGGAATTTGGTGGGAAGGGAGTGAAGAGTGAGTTGGCATCACAGCCAAATCCACCTAGTGACCAATTATGTATAGAAGAGCTGTGAGCAGTCAAGCTCTAGAAGTGCTGGTTGGTAGAATCATTGTTAGTGACTGAGGCTGAAAAAGGCAGTCAAGAAGGAGATGGGGTGTGGAAGAGTATAAAGCAAGTATTCCTAAAAGGGATGAACTTCAGTGTAGCAAATGGGATTGGGCCGGTGAGCATCACAGGCTCGGCTTATAGGAGAACACAGGAAAGGGTAGGGAGCAGGCCGGCATTTCACACTAGGGATTGTGCAGGAGGGGAAGGGAAAATGTATTTATATTTAATTTTGGAGAAAGATTTTGGTGATGTTTACAGGAAAGGTGAAAAGATAATTTCAAATTTGTGACCAAAGTTAGATTTGTGGGTCATACAAGGGCATAAATAATTATGGCTTCTTATGTGTGGGAATTAACTTTTATCAGTGGGAGGTTTGTCTTGCATATCCTGGGGTAAAGCTCTGAAAAGATAGTTTTGTTCTTTGCTTCTCTTATTTCTCGGGGTTCTTGGACTAGGGTGAGATGGAGTTTAGCAAAACTGCCAATAACTTGTACTTTGCCTCTGTAGTCTTTTTAATGCAGAAAGTGTGGGATCCCCTCCATGAAGTAGAGATTCAGCTCTCCTTCCCTCTTTCCTCCTCTTAGGCTGAACAGAATCAGACCCAAAAAGGAAAGAGCAAAAAGATGATGGCTTGCAGTTAAATATGAGTTTTAGAGTGTATGTGTGTGTGTGTGTGTGTGTGTGTGTGTGTGTGTTTGGGGGAAGAGAGAGGAAGAGACTTCATTTGGATTGGCATTGAAATCACAAGAGTAACAAAGCAGTTGTTATTGTCTTTTCCAGGTACATACTAGGTTTCTTTAGTTCACTGTTTCTCAAAGTATGGTCTGTGTTCTGCCTACATCAGAATCACCTAGACCCTAAGATGACTGAAATCCTTATTCTTGGCCCTCACACCGGAAGTACTCAATCATTTTTGTCGCAAGGGGGCCAAGGAATACACTTTTTAACAAACTCCCCTGGTGATTCTCATGCTTACTGAAGTCTGAGAACTTCTGCTCAAATCCTTTTACTCTGAAGAGTTTAATTTTTTTTTAAATCACTATGTTATTAGAAGTCACCCCATGTGTTTTACACATTCAGGCAAGATAGCTCTTTCCTCTTTAGCTTTAGTTTGTAGATGACTGTATTAGAGAGAGTTTCAAGCTATTTGCAAGTACTCTTCCATAAATAGCACACTTTAGATGAGGGGCGTCTTGAATCCTAATATTGAAAAGCCAAATTGGAATGTAGTCATCACTGTATTTTTTCTTTTTAGACTAGAGACATCTAGATTGGCTTTGTGGGAGTTTTGTTTTGATCAGATGAATGCAACCTAAGATTTAATTATCATCTTGGGGCAAATTTACAAAATATAATTTTTACACTTCTCATTAACTTATTTCAGCTTTAGTGTTTCTTATGCTTCCTGGGTATAAATTAAATCAGAAATATAAGTCATTTGAAACTCTATTGTGGTCAAAACCACCTCAGCCTCCAGTTGAGTGACAACCTGAAAAAGTCAAGAGCACATTCTGCTGGGCATCTCTCAGTCAGTCACTATCAGAAGCTCTTAATCTATTTTAAAGGAGAAAGCTGTAAATAGTTCGAAACAATTTTTTTCAAATCATTTATAAATAAAACAATTACCATTAGTATCTCTAATGATAAACAGTTATCATTCTCATCTCTAATGATATGAGCCCTCAGAATATCTTTACAAACCTCTCAGGACTTATGAGCTTCAAGTTTCAAAACTCTTGTTTTAGTCCTCTCTATTATTATTATTCCTATTATTATTTTGACAATTTTAATACAGTAAACTCATTGTCACTGGATAGTAAGAAGTAACTCTTATTTGTCCTTGGAATGTATCCAGACACATTAAGATGAAGCATACGTACTCTTCCCAGAGCCTGGCCCTGCCTGTCTCCCACCTTGGCCTGGTTATCAGAAGTCTGGAATCTTATCTAGGTGGAGGGTAAGAGCAGGAGATAAGACCCTACATAGTCCACTCTAGCTTAAAAGTAGTTGTGTTACTGAAGCAGAATAGGATGTACACCCAGCATTTGAGATACTTGACACAGAGAAATGAGAGAAAATGTTGGGGGGTGGGAGGGATTTGACAGGGACTTTGGAGTAGATTCAGTGACCTCTGGGAGAGATGGTGGGGCTCTGCTAACTGGGCCTTCTCCTTACAGGAGGCGCAGCCATGAAAGCCGGTGTGAAGGAGGGCGACCGGATCATCAAAGTGAGTGACCCTGACACCTACTACCCCCCACCCCCAGGAGTGGAGGCAGGTGTGCAGGGGCACTTCTGGCCTGGCCCCCATCCTGCATATTTCCATCCTGAAACCAACTTTCAGCCAGCCACGGAGTTAGGGGTGCTACCACCAGAGGGAGCACAGTAGTATAGCGTGAGAGAGGGTGGGGATTAAGATAGCGGGTTCCATATTCTGGGCCCTTCTTGACTCTAAAGCAACCAGTGTTCTAGAACGGGTTTTATTATTCCCATTTCATAAATGACAAAAGTAAGATTAAGAGGGAGGGTTTGTGACTAGTGAAGGACCTAAGCCTTCAGATCCTCAAGTTGATACTCTGTTCTCCATACAATTCCAACTTGAGGTCCTTGCCAGTTATAAATGACTGTAATCTCCCCTACTCATTCAAGTCTTTCTTCTGCAAACTGGAGTCATAGAAGCATTAAGGAAATCCTAGCTGCAGAGACTCCTTAGTCCTCTAGTAAGGAGGAAGCATGCTGGGTCAGTTGACGTACACATGTGTATGTGAGGCAAATGGTTAGAAAAGGAATGAAGACACAGATCTTACCCCTGAAAATGTATAGGCTAGCCATAGAGACAGAATACATAGCAGATGTGAACAGGAACAAATTCATAATGTAATTTGAATAAACAAGTGACCAGAGGTGGCTAAACAGCATTGGAAAATGGCTTCCTAAAGAAGTGGCAGTTTGAACTTACAGAAGGATCCCCTAGGTTTCCATCACCATTTCTCAATATTGTTTGTCCCTCCAACAGGTCAATGGCACCATGGTGACCAATAGCTCACACCTGGAAGTGGTGAAGCTTATCAAATGTAAGTTGGAGAGAGGTGACAACTGAAGAAATTAGGGTAGCACATGGGATGAAAGGGAGGTAGGGAGGAGAGAACAAGCCTGCTGACTCAGGAGGCTTCCTTTCTGGGTATGTGGAGCAGCTGAAGGCACATCTTTAATTGTGGCATGGAGTGATGCACTTAGACGGCCACAATCCCCTATTATCCTTTCAAGTGAAGACACTATTAATCTCTCATCAGACATCTTTATTTTTGCCCACATCCATTTTTTTTTATTTCAGCATATTACGGGGGTACAAATGTTTAGGTTACATAATGTTGTCTACCCACATCCATTTTTGCCACTCCTATTTACACCATATCCTACTGAACCCACATGTCACTCAAATACCATTCAGTGCCATTCATGGACATTCTTCCTCATTTGTTTCCTGTTTGGAAGAAAGAAAAACAAAAATAATTCTGTTGATAGCCAGGAAGACCCAACAACCAAGTCTGCACAGATAATCAAATAGAAGCAACAAATGTTGAGGAAACAACTGAGGGGTGGGGGAGGGTGGAGGGCTAGAATTTGAGTACCTACTTTGTGCTAGGTGGGCAGTGTGCTGAGGGCTTGACATTGGCTACTTAATTTAATGAGATAAAGGATGAAACAACCAGCTGATGAGGCAGCCTGTGGGGAGTGTTGCCAAATATTTATGAGTGGAATTTTGGTTGAGGTCTCTGCCTGAAGGAAGGGCAGGATGCAGCACTTGGACTGATGCAGGGCATGAGGCAGGAATTATAGAATGGGTATGCCATTAAAAAGTGGATTATGAGCTTAATGACGGAAGGGAGAAGACCCCCCCGCCCCCGCCCATGGAGCTGGAGTGTCTGTTTCCCCAGAACAGCACCTCTGCAGCAAGCCTCTTGTTTTCCTCCAGCTGGCGCCTACGTCGCACTCACACTCCTGGGCTCTTCACCTTCATCTGTTGGTGTCTCTGGGCTCCAGCAGGACCCGTCTCCAGCAGGAGCTCCCCGAGTCACCCCGGTGGTCCCCCCACCACCACCTCCTCCACCTCTACCACCTCCACAACGCATCACTGGACCCAAACCCCTGCAGGTAATGATGCTCCTGGCTCCCCCTCCTTACTCCAGTGTCCCTTTGAAGAGCTGCCCACTGGGGAGGAAAGCAGGTTAAATGGGGTTGTGAGCAGAGACAAGCCAAAAGATACATGGAAGACTATCAAAGAGTTGAACAAAAATGAGGGCTGCATGAAAGGGGCTGTTCCATGCCTTAGTGTCCTCCTTCTATGCAAATACATTGAAGTTTTACCAGACAGCAACATAAAGTGTGTTTCCTAAACATGTGGAAGACTCTAAGGAGGCCCTCTGCAAGTGCTGCTCTTCATCAGGAAGAGAGTAGACACTTGCAGGCATGGACAGAAAGCAACTGTTGAAGACTGTTGCCAGGCAGTGTTAGCAGGATATGGTAGAAAGTCAAGGAGTAGGGGAAAGGCTCCCTAGAGAAAAAAAGGCTACTTGGAGGAGCAAAATGTGGAGCCCAGTCAGAAGAGGGAGGGTGTCAGAAAAGGACAGAAACAAGTAGAGAGAGAACCATAGGAGCAAGGAAAGCCTGTATGAAGAGTTAAAGAAGGACAGGGTGCAGATGGGTATAGGGTACAGAATTTTTCCATTGGAAAGAAGACCGAGCCTGCAAGTTCTGGGAGACTTAAGAGCAATTTAATAACAAAAGGGAATTACAGGTTTCTAGGAAGTTTGGGAGTAAAATCAAAAGAAAACTGTATGTTTTCTGCATTCCAGTAGGGTAGTGAGTGTTATACAAAACATACTTATGACCCAGGCTGTACTGTCATAGCTTTCCTTTCCCAAGAATCAGCAGATAGAAGAGAGTTAAGGTATTGAGCTAATCCCTAACTCTCACTACTGCCATATTTTCCATTCCTAGGATCCCGAAGTTCAAAAACACGCCACCCAGATCCTCAGGAATATGCTGAGGCAGGAGGAAAAAGAGTTGCAGGTAAGGTCACTGCCAAGGGTAGACTGGCCATTACCTTAATGAAATAATACTTTATCAGAGCAATCTGCCAATGTGTACTACTTAATTTACAGGCCTTATCCTATCACAGTAAAACCTTAAATAATAAAACTTAAGGATCGCTAAAGAATTGTCATTGGCCAGTAGAATTTGTTAAAGCAGAATTTGACCAGTGGAGTAAATAGAGCAATAGAGTTCCATGGCTAATGGATTAGGATGGTGAATATGAAGACAAAATACAAATAAGTGACAGACAGGGAGACTAAAATGAGGGAACATTAGAACTGATGAAAATCAGAGTCAGTTGATCTCAGAGGTGTCCAAGGAAGGGAAGCGATAGAGGAAAGGAAGGTGTGATGGGTAGGTGAGGGCTGCACCAGACTAATAAAGATGGGGAGCTCTGTTGGTGGAGGGGAGGAAGAGAGATTTCCAGGCCTAGGAAATGATGTGCACAGAGAACAGTAAGCAGATTAACTTGGCTGGAGTGGAATAACCAGATTCCTACTACGGCTGTAACTTGCACCAATCTCCTCGCCCCTTCATTTCAAGTCAGCAAATTTCTGTAAGTGCCAGTGTATGTAAAGCAGTGCTTTAGTTACTGTGATATGCATAAATGAAAAAGATTGGATGGCTCTTGCCCTCAACATGTTTAAAATCTAATGGGGGAAATTCAGATTACAGTGGGAGGAACAAAGAACTTGCAATAAGAGAATAAAGAAGAGAGCAATTAATGAATACTAGGAATGTGGGAAAAGGCTTCACAGAAGGGATAGTATTTCAGCTGGGCCTTGAAGAGTGGGCCTTCAGTAGGCATAAGAGATGGGGGAGGGAATGCTAGTGAATGGACAGCATAGATCAAGGCACAAAGATATAAAATACATTCATTTGTTTAACAAGCATTGAGCTTTTGCTCTGTACTAAATACTGTGTATTAAGGCAATAGATGGTGGTAGTGTTGGGGAAGGAGCTGGAACGGTTACAAAGATAAATGAGAGGGTGAACCTTTTCTTTAAGGAGTTAGTAATCACATAGTATATGGATGCATGAATAAAGATATACTACATTATATTGAGTGTTAATACTTACATACTGACAAATGTCATAGAATAACCACGACAATATGTTATTGGTATAAGCTGCAGTCCCCAACCCCTGGGCTGCAGCCCCCAACTCCTGGGTACCAGTCCATGGCCTGTTAGGAACTGGGCCAATCATCACCACCTGAGCTCTGTTTCTTCCCCAACCCCATCCATGGAAAAATTGTCTTCCATGAAACTTAGGAACCGGACCTCACAGCAGGAGGTGAACTGTGGGTGAGCAAGCAAAGCTTTATCTGTATTTACAGCCACTACAGCTGCTCCCCATTGCTGGCATCACAGCCTGAGCTCCACCTCCCCCGAAACCCCTACCCCTGGTTCGTGAAATAATTGTCTTCCATGAAACCGCTCCCTGGTTCCAAAAAGGTTAGAGAGTGCTGGGTATATAAAGATAGACCTATAGAGCAATGAAATAGCATTCTGAGCCCAGAAATTACCCATATGTCTATGGTCAGTTGATTTTCAGCAGAGGTGCCAAGATAATTCAGTGGAGAAAGAATAGTCTTTTCAACAAATTGTGTTGGGACAACTGGATATCTTTGTGCAAAGAATGAATTTGGACACTTAACCTTACACGGGAAACAAAATTGCACTCAAAATGGATCAAAGACTTAACTATAAGAGCTAAAATTATTTTTAAAAACTTTAAAACTCTTAGAAGAAAACCTAGATGTAAATCTTCATGACCTTGAATTAGGCAGTGGTTTCTTAGATGTGATGACACCGAAAGAACAAACAACCAAAAAAGAAGAGACAAATTGGATTTCATCAAAATTAAAAACTTTTGTATATCAAAGGACACTGTCAATAAAGTAGGAGGACAGCCCACAGAAGAAATGGGAGAAGTATTTGTGAATCATATCTGATAAGGGTCTAATACCAGAATATGTAAAGAACTCTGACAGCTCAACAATAAAAAGACAAGCATCCCAACTTAAAAATTGGCAAAGGATTTAAGTTGACAGTTCTCTAAAGAAGACATGCAAATGGGCAATAAACAGGTGAAAAGATGCCCAACATTGTTAGTCATAGAGAGATGCTAATCAAAATGAGATACCACTTCACACCCATTAGGATGGCTATAACCAAAATGACAAGTGTCAGTGAGGATGTGGAGAATTCTGAGAAATACTTGTTTATATTTTGTCTGCATATTCACTATCCTAATCTATTCCTACCATTGATGGTGGGAATATAAAATAATGCAACCATTCTGGAAAACAGTTTGGCAGTTCTTCAGAATGTTAAACACACAGATACCATGTGACCTAGCAGTTCTACTTAGAGGATATACCCAAGGGAATTGAGAACATAGGTTTACATAAAAATTTGTGCATGAACATTCATAATAGCATTATTCATAATAGCCAAAAAGTAGAAACAACTCAAATGTCTATCTGTTGATGAATAGATAAGCAAAATATGGTATATTCATACAAGGGGATATTATTCAGCCATAAAAAGGAATGAAGTACTGATACATAGTATATATAACGTGAAAGAACGTTATACCGAAAACATTACGCTAAGTGAAAGAAGCCAGATACAAAAGCACACAGATTGTATGATTCCGTTTATGTGGAATGTCCAAAAGAGGCAAATGCTTAGAGACAGGAAGTCGATTAGTGGTTGCAGAGGATGGAGGAAGGGGGAAATTGGGAGTGACTGCTTACAAGTACCAGCTTTCTTGTTGGGGTGATGGAAGTGTTCTGGAATTATGTAGTAGGGGTGGCTATACAACTCTGTGAATACACTAAAAACACTGAATTGTACACTTTAAAATGGTGACCTTTATGTTATGTGAATTATATCCAATATCAGTTTTTAAGGTTTTTTTTAAAAAAATGCCATAGAAGCACAAAAGAAGGAATAATTATTTATGCAATAATCAGAAGGCTTCATGAGATGACACTTGAGTTGGGTTCAGTGTGGTGTAACTAGAACATTGAAAATGGCAGTGGGTGTGGTGGTTGGAAGGTGTTCTGGGCCTTGAATACGAAGAAGAACGAGGAGCTTGGAGTTTGTTCTGAAAGCAGTGGGACTTGATCAAAGGATTTTGAGTAGGGGACTGATCACAGTTTCAAACCAGTGTTCTTTAGAGAAGTGTGTTAAGTGAGTCAATGTAAGGAAACCATCTAGGAGGCTGTTGCAGTAGATAAGAGATGATGACAGATTTAACAAGAACAGTAGGAGTGAAAACAGAAAGGAGGGGATAGCCATGGGAGACATCTCAGAGGTCAGATCAGTAGAACTTATCAACTGGAAAGGGAGAAGAAAGAATTAAAGAAGGTCCCGAGTTTGGGTGCCTGGCTAGATGGCGATGCCATTGATGGAGCGAGATAGAGGGAAGGAGCAAAGCTTAGGGGAAGGAAATGAAGGTCAGCTCTGAGTATGCCCATGAGACATTCAGGTAGAGACCAGGCACTATGCATGTGGAGATAATAGGGCTGAAGGTAGGAGGAAAGGCTGGGTTGTAATAGAAATTGGGGTATCCTCAGTAGAAAGGTGGTAGTGGAAATTGGAGGCTTTGTGAAATCAGCCAGAGCACCAGTGCAGAGAGGAGAGTGCTGAGAGTGGAATCTGGGGACTTAAGTGCTTTTGCGGCACACTGCACCAGCCTTTACCATACACTCGCTATTCTGTGTGGTCTTTGAAGGAGCATTTGGTTGAGGTGATGGGAAGGGAGCTAGGTGGTGTGTGCTGAGGAGCAACTGGAGGCAAAAAAAGTGTGGGGTTCTTATTGTAGACACCTGTTTTGGAACACTTGGCCGTGAAAGGGAGGAGAAGCAAATGGGGCAGCAGCCTGAAGAATAATCAGAGCTGATGGAAAGAGTTTTGTTGTGGTGTTTGTTTTTGTTTTAAGTCAGAAAACTTGAACATTTTTATAGGATGAAGGGAAAGAGTCATTGGAAAAAGGAGACTTCAAAGATATCTGAACAGTGTCCAAGAAGAGCCCAAAGCAGTCAAAGGTTTAACTTTGTAAAAGATTTAGACATAGTTTCCCCTCTTAGGCAGGAGGAAAGATAACTGAAAGAAAGTGTTTTGAAATGGAATAAAATAAAACGGGGTTTTCACCAAATGATATCATCTGCTGAGACTGAGGGAAGGGTTGGGGTTTGGTGGGCATGGAGAAGGTGAGACATTAAATGTGAGGCATTTGTAAAAAGGTTGTCAGGTAGTGGGGAAGCCCCAAATGAGTTTAGATAATATGTGAACCCAAGGTCTTTATTTAATTATGTAACCAGCAAGCTTTGTTGAGCATCTCCCTTTGTAGTAAAATATGAATAGCTGCCACTTATCCAGGCGTGTAACTATGCGGCAGACATTCTGCTAAGCACTTTGCATACATAAATAATCTCATTCAGCTCTTAACAACCGTCCAACAAGACAGGTATTGTCATCTCCATTTTATTGATGAGGACATAGTCAAGCTTGCCCAAGTCTACACAGCTAGAAAGTGGAGGTGCCAGAATTCAAAGCCGGGTCTCCCTGACTGCGAAGGGAGTCTGTGGCGTATTTCATGCCATGCCGAGTGCTGGTGTCAGGATGATTCCTGCTCTCTAGGAGCTTGCAAACGATGGGGCTGAGGGGAGGTATTGTCTGCTCTAGTCAGTGCTGCTTCCTCTCATCTCCTGTGGTTCTCATTGTGTCTAAGTTTCCTCTTTAGCACTTTTTTGTGTATTGGTCTGGACAGTCACTTAAATATTTCACACTTGAGTGGTAGTAGAGGAAGACCTGGTTTAGGATGTGGGACTTAAGCCAGGCCTTGAAGAATGGATCGGATTAGGACAGGACTTGGTGTTTTATCTTCTTTCCCAGGTTGCCTCACGCGTTCTGTTTTTCATCACTTATACCTTTTTCCGATCCTAAATGATGGTAAAGTAACATGAATCTACTAGAAGGCAGAGATCTCTCCTCTCTCTTCTTTGTTTTGGGATAACTGCCTGCTCTCCTCACTGATGAGTCGTCCATTCTCTACTAACCACCCCTCTGCCTTTTCCCCTCCTCCTTCTCCTCCTCACCCCCCCCCAGCGTATCTGTGAGGTGTATAGCCGGAACCCCGCCAGCCTGCTGGAAGAGCAGATCGAAGGTGCCCGGCGGCGAGTCACTCAGTTACAGCTGAAGATCCAGCAGGAGACTGGTGGCTTAGTGGTGAGTGATGGTAGGCACAGCTCTAGGAAAGGCACCGTGCAGTTGGACCGGGGGTAGAGTGAGGGAGAAAGCAAGGACGGAAGCCTTCTGCGTTATGCCGGGACCCAAAGGCGAGCTAGTTTAAGTGTTCAGTATTTTACAAAGAAACAAAAGTCAGCAGTTCTTTATTTAGGACCAGAGAGGCTGAGCACTGTTGTGACACTTGGGATACCATTAAAAAAAAAAGGCCTATGTCTTGCCCTCCAAGAACTTATGGTTGCAATGGAAAGAAATAAATATGAAATAAATCATACTGGCGGCTTTAGTCTTCTAAATATCCTTCCCTTCTGGGTAGTTTCCTCATAGCTGATGTATATTTTTACACTGGTTTTACTTAATACTCATGTGGTACCTTTCTCCACCACCTGTTCTTCAAGTAATGGGTCTTCTCAAAGAAATACAAGTACTTTTAAAGTCAACCTACGTAAAGGATCCCCCGTCAGTTGAAAGGGATCTATATCAGCAGCTAACAATGCTTTGTGGAAAGTTCCAGAGAAGAAATGGTTCTTTATCTGTTCTTGTCAGGGACCTTACTATTAGTGTCTTCCTTATCTTCATCAGCCATTAATTCTTTGGGTGAATAAGAAGTAACTCTCCAGAAACTTTAAGGTCTCCAAGAATATTTGCCAAAGCAAATAAAAATTATTTAACACGTTAACTGCCATGTGAGTTGTATTTAACTCATGATAGTTTTGAGCCCAAGGCCTCGTGAAGCATATGTAACTCACACGTCTCTTCACCTTGGGAGCCACAAGAACTATTTTTCAAGTTGCATATAACTCATACGCAGAAAACAATAAAAAATAACAGAGTTTTTCATTCAATTAGAATGGATTGTTTCGTTTTTGAAGTTTTCTGTACTTGTAATAAAACACTGAAAAAAAATTTTTTTATTGTGGCAGTCAATATGTTAAAGATTATCTGCTTTCTTTTAATTAGAACATTCAGATCAAAAAAGTTTGAGAAACATAGGCAAATAAATTGAAACTGCTTCATTTTCTGAAGGAAAATACCATAGCACATGGTCGATAGGAGCTCAGGGTGTAGACTTAGACTGTCTGGATTCAAATCCCAGCTCTAATTCTCACCAGCTTTAAGACTCTTGGTCAAGTTACTTCATCCCTAGGAGCCTTACTTTCCTCGTTAATAAAATGGAGATCATGGTATTTTCAGATGTAAAGCTTGCCCTTGACACAGGAGCCAGTACGTGTTTGATGCTGCTGCCACTGTTGGTTGTGCTGTGAGGTGGTGAGTCTGAGACACTAAGCTTCCCCGAAGGTCTGAGCTCCAAGCTTGGCTTTAGAGTGGACCTGCTGTGTAGCTTGGGCAAGTTACTTAAGGTCTCTGAGCTTCTGTTTCCTCATTTATAACATGGAAGTAACATGCCTAACTCAGAGTCATTGGAAGATTAAATGTGATACAGGAAAGTGCTTTGTAAACAGTAAAGCACAATTAACATCATTTCCTCCACATCGGCTGGCTCAGTCAGTCCCAGGCCAGTGCCTGTCTGTCCTCCTAAAAGATCTCCAGAGGTGTAAACCCTTTATGTCTGCCCCCAGTCACCTGCTTGAGCCCTTTATGCTCCTTAATAGTTAGGAGGTTCTTTCTTGTATCCAACCCAAGTAAGGCATTAGATGCTCTGAGGTTCAGGGTGATAAATAAAGTGAGATTTTAGAATTTTGTTAATGGTAAAGCTCCCTTTCCACCATTAGGGGTCATCATCATCCTTAAACTGTACAAAAGAAGCAGTATCTCTTCTAGCTGGGCATTTTTGAGTCAATGAAGCAGAAGAGGCCACTAATTGTAAGCTAATACAGCACTGATTGGAGGAAGGAAACACTAGGGCAAGAGGTTCACAGAATTTGCCCACGCTCTGGGCCTTTCTTTTTTAGGACATACTTCCACTCTGTGGTGATACCAGCCAGAGACCATCAGAAGGTAAGTCTCCCCCATCACCCTATTTTTCCCTGGCATACCTCTAGTCCAGGTTTGCTAGCTGCTTTCCCCTCCCTGTGGGGCAGATTCTGGGAAAGAAAATATATAGTACCTGCTATCTGGGGAATAGAATAATGGGAGAAAGCAGTACAAATACACAGGGAAATTGGGTACGATTTAGGCAGTAGAAATGAGTGTCTAACCAGTAACCCTGAATAGATAAGGGCCAGGGAGATACTGGAATGATTATGGTCCAGACAACAGCTTGCGTAATAGCACCTGGCACTTAGGAGCTCAGCAAATACTTGTCGTAAGAAGAAATGGATGGTGACCAGAAGAGGGTTGGGAATGGGTTGAGGGGTAAGACTAGTGTGAGATAGCCACCAAGTCTTTCCTCATGAGGTGACATGACCTGTACCTAGGTGCAGAGGTGGGTAACTAGATGAGAACTCTAGATGTGGTAAGAGGAGAGGAGAGGTATACCCAAGAGAATATCTGAGTCTAGGGGTCATGAGATGAGAGAGCAGAAGGGAAACATGAAAGATGATGGCTTCCCCTTCCCGACCAGTGCACAGGTGCCCAGAATAAAGGGTCTTCTTTCCCCCAGGCCACAGCTCCTTCCTTACTATATAAACTGGTTTCTTCTCAGGCCGTTTCTCTCTGGATTCCCAGGAGGGAGACAGTGGCTTGGACTCTGGGACAGAACGTTTTTCTTCCCTTAGTGAGGTGAGTGCCACCAGAGACGAGGCCCATTCAAAACATATATTCAGTGTCCCTTTCCAGGCACCTAAAGGCTCTGCTGCTCACCAGCTGCACCAAGGCCTCCGGTCTGTCATCTGGGCGCCTCTTCTGTGGTTCTAGTTCCAAGGATTTCAGTCACTGTGCTCTGAGTTCCAAAAAAGGGGTTTCAAATGCATCCTTACGTGTAAGATCATCAAATCTGGCTTCCATTTTATCCTAGTGAACTCTGTTACATAAAGAGCAGGGTAGAGAGGGAGCCACATCCTTAACTATGGCAAGCCTTTGAGAGTGAGGGAGCAGAGACATAAATCCTCTAAAACAGTGACTCGACCAAAAATACATTTCTACCTGGTCAGGAATAATATCATCTTAGATTAATACAGCGAACCCGGCCTGATCAGAAGTGGTAGTCTCTCTTTCTTTGCTGTGGATCTTTTTCTTCTTAAACATCTCATCTTTTCTGGAGTAGTGAGAAGATACATATATTCAGGTTTTGAAGGTTATCTCTTCCAGGTGTTCTCAGTTTGCATGTATAAACGCTATAAACCTGCAATATAAAGTAAGAGTCAGTAGAAGAAGCAGTAATGGTGATAGCAAAATATTTACTTAGCCAGATTAATTAAATACGTGAATAAGTGGTTGAGAACATGTTAAAAACCTAATTTTAGATAACAATTGGCATTTTATTTTCTTACTGCCCCTGTCTGTGGGAAGATGATGAATACACATGAAAGGATCAATATGTAGGAAAGTCACCAAGAAAGTGGGGTGGGAGGGGGGCCCTAAAGAATCTGCAGTTGGTATTATCTGGGAGGCAGCATAGTTGGTGAGGAAGAAAAGTGTGTGCTGTGGGTTGAGACTGCCTGCGTTGAGGCCAGAGAATATCTCATTACTAACTCTTTGACCTTTAGCAAGTCTCGTAACCTCTTGGAGTCTTAGTTTTTTCATGGGAAAATGAGAGGAATAATAGTATCAGGGCTGTTGTGAGAATTGAGTGAGATGATATGTAATCAAGGGCTTAGTATAATGCTGGGCACAGAGCAAGTATTGAATTTCTGTTAGCTAATGTTATAAGTATGGTTATCATCACCAAATGAGCTGAGCCCAGAGGGTCTTCTGGTCAAGGTTCCTTCTCACAGAGTTCTCCATTCCTCTAGTCGTTGATGAATCGGAACTCAGTACTCTCAGATCCTGGACTAGACAGTCCTCGAACCTCCCCTGTGATAGGGTCCAGGGTAGCCCAGCACCACAGACGGCAGGGCTCAGATGCACCGGTCCCCCCAACCAGCGACCAGGTGAGTGATCCGCCTTGCAGTTTTCCTCTCTCTTTTTTCAGAACTGAGCTTTGGAGACATGGGTCTTACCAATGCATGGTCTTGAATAATCAGACTAAATGCCTGCTCCAGCAATCCAAACCGAGATAGTTACTTCCTTAGAGAATAAATAGTAAAAAAAGAGCATGGTATAAACAGAAACATGAAAGTAAGGCTGTCTCAGGTTCTATGTGAAGAGTCGGTGAATGCACCTGTAGGGAAGTGACAGATAAGGAGCAGATAGCTGGTCTTTCTTTTAATGTGTATATAGAATAGGAAACAGGTTTATTCAGTGTTTCTCCAGAATACTAATTTTCAATTTTCTCATTCCTTAGCAAAATTTCCTTCTCAAACAAAATCTTTTTATTTGGGATGCTAATATAGGGGGAAAAAAAAAAAAAAAAAACCTCAGTTCCCCTGGGACATTTTCTGGTTAACTGCCCTCAAGAACACATCCATGGAGCCCTAAGATCCTGCAAAACCTAATTTGAAAGCTCCTGCTCTCAAAGAACTAGATCCAGGAAAGATTTCAGGAACATAGGTTTTAGCTCAGTGCAAAAAGTTTGCAAAGACTCTGGGCTGTCTTGCAATGCAATGGGCTGGCCCAAGAGCCAGAGAATTGCCTGTCATTGTTCAGACAGAAGCTGGGCCACTACCTGTTAGAGACACTGGGGAGAGATCTAGTTTTGTAAAACTGTTTCTTAAAATTCAGTCACCTATAATGACTATAATGATTTATAATAATTTATAATCACTATAATGAGTTTTCCATATGCACATTTCACCTATATAATGTTACTTAATATTTTTCTTTAAGCTAAGTCACTTCTTTAAACTTAAATTCATTTTAAAGGAAATCTGTCATTACCTTAAATTAAAACCAGTAACACTATAAACGCAAGGTAAATGTAAAACTAAATATAAGTTTAGAAACAATTTTGTTAAATTCTACCTAGAAAAATACAGAACAGTGTAGACAAAAAGCTGTCATTTATGTTAAAAAGAGGAAAAGGGGCTTCTTTTATATCTCTGGATGCATATTTAAGCAACTGGTGGTGGTTGCCTCTGAGGGGGGAATTAGATGGCTTGAGGATAGACGTAGAAAGACTTTTCATTATATTTACCTTTTTGCATCCTTTTAATTTTAAACTACACAAACATATCACTTACTCAAGAAATAGATAAAAATTTAAACAAGCTGAAAAATAAACTCTAGCTAAATTCTATTGATTTTCAAAGGCTTTAATTAAGCCTGAGGCTGATTCTGCCTTTGTTAAAGCTATACTTAGCACCAAGCTGAAACTTTTCCCGGGTTAATCAAAAGGATTGAATAAGAACTGAAAAGAAACTTAACTTTCTTACAATATGATTCAGTGTTATTTAATGCCATGTCCAGGTACCACCTAAAATCATCTCGAGCCTCAACAAAAAATTATTTTAAATCATCTTTAGTTCCACCAGTGGTGTACTTCCCGCACTGGAAAACAGTGGTGTAAGGAAGTATACAGGTAGTATTTTCAAACTGTGGTTTTCACCTTTTGAGTGGGTCATGATATCAATATTTGAGGTCAAGAGCAGTGTTTATTTTAATGAAGTAGATTTTAATAGTGTGGAAAAGAAAATATCAGCATTCATCCAATATAATAAGACTAAGTTTAGTTTTGTGAAACTTCTGTTTTAGTTACATATGTGTGTACTGGGCTGCAATGAAAATGTATTTATTATTGGAAGTTGTGGTCAAAAAAAGTTTGAGCTGGGAGTGGTGGCTAATGCCTGTAATCCCAGCGCTTTGGGAGGCCAAGGTGGGAGGATCACTTGAGGAGAGGAGTTTGAGACCAGACTGGGCAACATAGCAAGACCACATCTCTATAAAAAATTTAAGAATTAGCTGGGTGTGGTGGCGCATGCCTGTAATCCTAGCTATTCAGGAGGCTGAGGCAGGAGTATCACTTGAGCCCATGCATTGGAGGCTGCAGTGAGCTATGCACTCCAGCCTAGGTGACAGTGAGACTCTGTCTCTTTAAAAAAAAAAAAAGGATTTGAAAGCTGCTGTTCTAAAGTTCTTTTAACTCTGGGTGCCTATTAATCTCTGAATCCAGGAGGTGGTCTTCAGAAAATAGGATCTCTAAAGTAATTTTGGATAGAGAGAAAGAGATTAATATAAGGAAGAAAACAGAGTAAACAGTAATCCTAATGTTTAGCCAAATACAAGTCACTACTGAGGTGACCGATTAATCAGCAATTTAGTTAAATCTAGCCCCTGATGGTGCTGGATCCTAGAATCTAGATCTAATTTTTCTGTCTTGTCCTCCTTCCTCTGAACAAAACCAAGCCTTACTTTGTGCCTTGTCAAACCTGCTGGGTAGGTCTCCTGTAGAAGTGTATGGGCTTGAGGTACCCACCATGGTCCCTCCTCCAGAAGGCTTTTTATGCAGAGGGCTTCTTTCCCAGGCTTCAGTGAGTAAGCCCAGACAGTGGGTTACAGTTTTCCGCCTGCACCTTTCCTATCTCTGCCCACACCTACCACTCACCGCCCCAAACTCCTGACTCTACCACACACGCATGCATCTCATGAATTCTCTTTGGTAGTGTTGTGATTTTAGTAAACTTGTCCTCTCTCTCTTGAGTTTAGAGTTCCAAGCAGCATCTTTTTTGTATTACAGCATTTACCCCTCTGCTGTTATTCTTTGTTTACAAGTCCAATTTCCCCACTAAGCTTAATTCATCTTTATATGCTGAGCACCTAGCAGGGGGCCTGGCACATAGTAGGCGCTTCATAATGCTTAGTGAAGGAATGAGTGAATACTTTGGAATGGGACTAATCATAATTGTCTTCTGAGTGTCATCTTGGAGAGGACTTGTCCAGGACACGTTATGGAATATGAAGTCTCTCATACCTCTCATACGGAGCTTCTTGAACTTCTCGAAACTGAGGTTTCACAGTATGATCTATAAGAGGACATGGCCTAGGTGAATCCTATTCTTAAATCCAGAGGTATGCAGTCATTAGAAGAAAATTCTAATCAAGAGCTGCTCTACAAAAGAAGAATACATTTGATACTCTAGTTTTACCCATCGAATAGAATTTAGTTATTCTTAGAACTTACAGGGGAAAGGTGGGGAAATGAATCCAATGTGTATTAAAATGTCTGGTGTACCAGCTGCTGTGCTAGATCTTTTACAGAAAATCTCATTTAATTCTCACAATCAGGAAAGGAGGTGGCTGTTAGAATCTTCATGTGGTAAATGAGAAAAGTGTGAGGCAAAGAAGGCTTAGCTTGTTACTGGCAGGGTCAGAACTAGAAGGTAGTTCTCCTGGGCCCCAGCGCAGGGCTACTTCCCCTCCTGGCTGCTCTTTCATTGCCTACTCCCATACCCTTCCCTTTGTGGAACTAAAGGACCAGGTTCGGGTTGCTGAGGGGGGTCAGGCCTACGTCCTGTTCCCAGGGAAGGTTTTCCTTTAGGAGGTTAACAGGAGCAGGTGTGGAGTAAATGGTCTTGGAGTCCTTGTTTGTCTCTTCTGGTTTTGGTCATTTTCTGAAAACTATTTAAATTGCTACCCTTTGAGTGTTAAGAGCAAATATAGTATAGTTTCTTAATAATAATATGTTAATAAAAGTGTAGAGGGAAAACCTGTACTACCCACAAAACTATCAGCAGCAGAGAGATGGAAGCCTAGGGAACTCTCACTTTCTGTTACATAATTCTGTAATGTGTATTTTTTTTAGTAAGCATATTGTGCTTTTGTAATCAGAAAGATTATGTATTTGTAAAGACTTTTAAAAAAATCCTCCCCCCAAACAATCAAAAACCTAGTGCTTTCAAGGTCTCACCAGAGAGCCAAGTAGAGCCGTAAGTGCTTGTCTGCCACCTCCTGGGGATCTTGGACCCCAAGAGGTTGAGAGTCTAGGATGTTAGGGGAGAGCAGGTTACTCAGGATGTGTCTAAGAAATACAAATACAGTAAGTACATCAGGCCTGACTCTGCAACTTTGAGCATGCCAGTCAGTCTCTCTGGGCCTCATTTTTGTATTCAATTATAAATGAGTATTAGACTCTAATCTCTGAGATACCTTGTGGGTCTCTCATGTTCTGTGACTCTGTCATTCTGCACATAGAGTCTGTAAATATCCAGGAGAATGGAAAAGGAATAAGGAACATCAGGGAGGCACTGTCAGGAATAGACCCTAAAGAAAGTGGGGTAGGAGAGTCTCTTGGGCCTGGATAAAAGTAGGCACAACAAGCTCAGTGGGTTCCAGAAGCAGAGTCCTTGTTGGGGAATCACTGGAAATGGAGGAGATCAAATTGAGTGAAAAATATAGTTGCTAGAAAATCTTTAAAAGCTCAAAGAACCTTTAGGAAAAAAATTCGTCCAATAAAGTATCTGAAAAGTTTATGGAATATGAAGTCTCTCATACCTAATCAATGGCATATTGGCTAGAATTAGGTTTTTATTAAAATTGGTATAAGTGGGAAAGAAAGAAAAACTAGTCTAAGAAGTTTGGATTTTAGACAGGTAATGGCAGATGTACCATAGACTCGTACGCAGGCAAGGGAAATAATGCAAATGATGTTTGAGAAAGATCTACCCCAGCCCTTTTGTTCAGAGAGACAGAGATCCACTGCTAGGCTCCCATACTGTTACTTAGCCACCATCACTTACTAGGCACACAGTAACTGTTCAGTAGCATTGTGGTAGACACTAGATTTGGAGGGTATGTTAAAGTTAAGGAAAACAACAAAGCCCCTCAACCCAACAGCCCAGTAGGAGCTATAGGTTCTTATTTTGTTGAGTGACACTCCCTCCTCAGATCTTTTGCAAACAGGAAGAGAGCATTTGCTCTTACTTCCCATCTTCATATGTCATGTGGCCAGGCTGTTCTGAGTCTGCCTTGCCCCACCCAGAAGCAGTTAACTTCCTGCAAGTGGAAATCATTTCTGTATGCTCTGAGATTTGGGGGTGGTAGGGAGATGCCAACGTTTACCAGACCTGTGTGGCTTTCTTTGTGAGTGCTGTGCTATGACTAAATAAACTTCACTGAGGGGCTTGAGCACCCTGTCCTCTGTAACCCCTCATCTCTACAACTTGACTCTCTCCCCCAGGGTGTAGATCAAAGCCCAAAGCCTTTAATTATTGGCCCAGAGGAAGATTATGACCCGGGTTATTTCAACAACGAGGTAACGGTTTCCTGGTTTTCTCCTTTCATCATTCTTCTGTCATACAACTTGCTCTGGCCTCCAGGCAGTCTGACTAGCACCAGCTGTGAAGGGAACTTGGGGGAGGGAGCCTCAGCTTATAAACCCTGGAAGGTGGATCACATGGGAGCTAAACTGGAACAGGCTGTGCTGCTGTACCCTGCCTCCGTGCCTCCCAGCCATTCTCAGCCTTCTGCCTTCCAGAGCGACGTCATCTTTCAGGATCTTGAGAAACTGAAGTCACGTCCAGCTCACCTAGGTGTTTTTCTACGCTACATCTTCTCTCAGGCGGACCCCAGTCCACTGGTAAGTCACGAGTATCAGTCTCGATTGAGTGCCTGCCTGCGCTTGGCAGAGAGAATCTCTGGCCTCTGTTCCCGCTCTCTAGATGTCACAAGTCAGATCCATAGGCATCGTCAGGAACTTCAAGGACAGAGACAAAATAGAAAAGAAGATGACACTTAGGCAGAAGGGTTTCTTCACTTTATGTGACACAGCAAACTACATCAGTGGCCTCGGGAGGAGGGAGAAGAGCTAGGCCAGGAATACTGTCATTCTTGATTAGTTTAGGAAGGCTTCTTGGAGAACACGCTCTTTCTAGAGTTTTTCAAATGAAGGAAAATACAGACTGACTACAGAGTTGAGAGAGTGGCCCTACAAGAAGACTTGGCAGAGGGCAAGGCGGCAAAGGATATTCCATCTAAAGGTGATGATAAGGAGAAATGTGAGGGGTGGAGACCAGAGTGCCCTGGGACAGTGCTCAGAGTCAGCAGCCTTACCAGTTCCTCTCACTCTTCGCAGCTGCTTAGGAAGTAGGGCTGGAGGACCGAGGTTGATGTTTTCCTCTTCAGGATAAACTTCTTGCCCAAGACATGGACTGCTGTTTTGTCTTTCTGGGGATACCTCTATTAGAAGCCAAAGTGAACGTCTGTTTGCTCAGTAGGTATTCATTGAATACCTGTGTGTGAGCCCCAGGTGCTGGTGTCTCAGAAGCATTCCTGAATAAAGACAGGGCACATCACAAAGAGAAATAGAACAGGAACCCTTAGGAGACAGTATATAAACAAGTGCAGGACACAAGTAAAATATCGAGTGTGGAGAAGATACAGAGTTGAGGAGCGATGACTCTGAGGATGTGCGTGTGGGAAAGGGGGTGGGATTGTTTTACCACAGGTTTCTCAAACATTCTAACCCAGGGTTTCTCAACCTCAGCCTATTAACATTTTGAACGAGAGAATTCGTTGTTGTGAGACTGCATTTTGGGATAGTTAGCTGCATCACTGGACTCTACCCACTAGATGCCAGTAGCACCTCACTGGCCCAGTAGTTGTGATGAGTAAAAATGTCTCCAGATGTTGCCAAATGTCCCGTAGGGGGCAAAGTCACCCCCGGTTGAGAATCAGTGCTCTAACCCAGTTTGTCTCTCCTCTTAGCTTTTTTACTTGTGTGTAGAAGTTTATCAGCAGACAAACCCCAAGGAGTCCCGAAGCTTGGGAAAAGACATCTGGAATATTTTCCTAGAGAAAAATGCGGTAAGGCAGTCATAGATTGCGTTGTAGTTTCATTATACTCTTTGAACCACCACAGAGAAAAATGAAGCCAAACATTCAGGCCAAGTGGAGACAGGTTCTTAAAGAGAAGTCCAGGCTGAGAGATTCTGCTTCTAGCTCTACTCCCAAAAGATTGATCTCCTCTCTATACCTCTTTTGTTCCACACATTGTCTCTCTCCAAATTGTTTGGAGAAAGAAAGAGATTGTACCAAATTCTCATTGCTTTCCCCTGAATCAGTGCCCTAGTTCCCCCAACACTCCCTGCCTCCCACATCCCTGGGATAAAGAAACAGGTTTGGAGGCATCTAGTGATCTAGATCAATGAGGCAAGAGGAGAATCCCGTTTTCTGCAGCTCAACCTAACTTGCTATTATTGCCCAAAGGCAGGAGCAGAGGCCGGAGACCCCATAGTATCTGGGATGGATAGCACTCTGTGCGTCTGTACATAGTTCCCAAGATTGGGTCAGGGATCCCACTGACAAGAGCACTTCTGCCTACAGAGGGCAGTTCCCATCCCAGACTTCCTAATCTGATCAACTAAACTAATTCCAAGGTGACATTATTCTTCTAGCAGGAAGCTACTAGGGCTAGTAAGGTTGGGAAAATTGATTTTTCTCAGGATTTTTTATTTGCCTCCTTAAATGGGTGTTGAGTACGGAGATTAGAGCTGCCAGTTGTTCACTATTGGTTGTTATGGAACCACCCCAATATTCAGGTGTCAGAGACTCAGAAAGCAAAAACCAGAACACTGTGCTAACTGCAAGACTAGGTGACATAAGGCTCGTTTGCCCTTGGGAGTAAAGAGGAGGGGAAGTCCATCAAATAGCCTAATAAAGGTTTTTTCCTTGCTGCTAACTTAGCACCAGTCCACTTTTTAGAACAACATGCCCATTCCGTGTACCCTGTGACCTTGAAATAAGAGTGGAAAAACTGCATGTGCCAACCTCAGAATATAGTCCCAGCTTGCCCTGTAACCTCAGATTCCATTTCCCAAAAACCTTAGCCTAGAATTCAGGGGTACAGTTGGAAAAAGATGAGAGGGAGTGTGGGTAGATGTAGGCAAAAAAGATAAGAAGGTAGTGTTGCTAAGCCCGCCTCACCCTGCACGTGTCTCCCTGGAGTGTGCCGACCTCACCACTTCTGCCCCACTCTTCTGTTTCTAGCCTCTGAGAGTGAAGATCCCTGAGATGTTACAGGCTGAAATTGGTAAGTTGGCTCATTGGTCAGTTAGTCTCCCGTTGGTGTCCTTTTTGTCCTGAGCTCTCAGGAGGCTCCAGAGGACACAGGGGACATGGTCCCTGTCATTGGGCAACCATCCTCTAATAGAAGAAAAGAACACTGCCCAGTAGCTTATGGTCGTGCATAAATGGGACAGACCCTTTCTAGGAGCTCACTCTGCCTGGTGGAGCTTGGCATGGGAAGACACTGGACTTGAAGTTAGGAGACCTGGGCTTATTTCTACCAATCTTCCTCTCTGGGCCTCAGTTGGCTTATCTGAACAAAGAGGAAACTGGACTTGATCAGGGAATCCTAAGTCAGGTCAGTCATCAGAGTCCCTCTTTTAAAAAATACAAAAACCAGAGCCTCATTCTATCCCACCTAGAGTCAGAATCCCCAGCGTGGTTTGTTACAGAGTGCAGGGATTGTTTTGTTTTTGAGACAGGGTCTCACTCTGTTGCCCAGGCTGGAGTGCAGTAGCTTCATTGTAGCTCACTGCAACCTCAAACTCCTGGGCTCAAGCCATCCTCCCACTTCAGCCTCCAGAGTAGTTGGGACTACAGGCACACACCACCACACGCACTTATTTTTTTGTTTTTTTGTAGAGATAAGGTATCGCTTTGTTGCTCAGGCTGGCCTCAGCCTTCCAAAGTACTAGGATTATAGGCCTGAGCCGCCAAGCCAAGCCCTGTTTTTGTTTTTATAAGTTCCTTACTAGTACTGATAGCAGCTGGTCCTGAGTGAGGACCCAGTGAACTAGATGATTGCCTAGCTCCCTTCTAATTCTGATCACAAGTAGAAGAATTAAAGGGAGACAGTCTAAAGTGGATGTCAGCCTGAGAATCTAATCACAGGCAGCTTTTTAGAGGATAGTAATTGGAAGCTGCATTTGGAAAGAGACAATTCATGGGCACATACGACAGGGAAGAGACAATTCATTGGCACATACGACAGGGAAGAGACAATTCATGGGCACATACGACAGGGAAGAGAGCTTACAGGCACAGGCAATATTGTGAACAGAGCTTGTTCAAAAGCAGAGAGAACCAGCTCCTCTCAGGGACTTTGCCTCGCCTGGGTGGAGCTCGATGCAGGTACAGGAGAGACATCTTTCCATTTCTACTGGAGAGTTTGGGTTTCATGGCATGTGAAGTGCTTGCCTTTTTTAGCCTTGAGAGTTGGCTCTGGGGCTTAAAGGGGAAGGAATGAGCCTCTCAGAGGTCCACACTTGGATGTCATAGGACAGCACTTGGACACATCTGATGTGAGGGGCTTTAATATTTCTTCTCTTAATGGAGCATAGAACATCCAGAAAATGTTTTTGCCCTCGCCTTGGGCCTAGGACATCAGGATTCCAGTCCTGAATTCAGGAATGACAGGGGAGGTCCAGGCCTCTATTTCCTTTCTGGTAACAGGGAGCAGAAAGCCAGCCTCTCTTCCCAGTGTCATGGGAACTGAAATGCCTTGAACGCGCCCCCACCCCCACCCCCCACCGCCGCTGCCAAGGACCCATGCATTCTGCTTTCTCTGGGCTTCCACTACAGACTCGCGCCTGCGGAACAGTGAGGATGCCCGCAGTGTTCTCTGTGAAGCTCAGGAGGCAGCCATGCCCGAGATCCAGGAGCAGATTCACGACTACAGGTTGCCCAGCTCCCTGCCTTCCTAGTCTCTGCCTGCACCTCTGCCCCTTGGCCCTTTCTCATTCCGTCTGTGAGTGTGTGTACCTCTTGTTATGTGTGTGCGTTTGCCTATTTCTTGGTTTCCTGTTGAGTATTTGTGTGTACATTTATTAATATTTCTCTCTCTATGCTTCTGTTGCTTAGAACGAAGCGCACCCTGGGGCTGGGCAGCCTGTATGGTGAAAATGACTTGCTGGACCTGGATGGGGACCCTCTCCGAGAGCGCCAAGTGGCCGAGAAGCAGCTGGCTGCCCTTGGAGATATTTTGTGAGTCTTCAGTTCTACTCCCACACTCTGAACATGCCAAACAGGTTGACATATTTTGTGGGTCTATTTTCCAGCCTTTCCCCCCTTCCACTTCTTGCCTGATTCTCCTTCCCCTGAAAGATGGGGAGAGTTGTGCCCTCTGCTGCGTCTCTCAGGCCGAGAGCTGCCAGTGCTCAAGGGAGCTGCAGAGCCGGGAGCTCCTGTCAGTCATTTGGTGGTTGAGACAGACCCTGGGCTCTAGGAAACTGTGAGCTTTCTGCTCCTCCTTTCTACCCTCTTCCTGACCTTCCTTCCTCCAAGACTCTATCTGAGGCTAAGAGTGAGACCAGTGCTGCGAGTGTCCAGTGGATAAAGTTCCTTCAGGAGGCAGCTAGAACTGGCTTGAGAGAACTTGAACCATCTTTTACTAATCACATCAGAAAACTAAACTAGCGCAGCTTATGAAGGAGCTCCCGGCACAGGAGCTTTGTAATGCTTTTCTAGTCCCATTTCCTAAGGCATCACAGGCCCCTGGGATGCAAGTCCCAACATCACAGACTTTGTGGGGTCACTTCCAGGCTCAGAAGCAGGTTTTCGCCCAGTACTGCTCCTCGTGAGTAGTTATATGACCTTGGTTAAGCCATTTTGTACAAGAGTTGGACTAGATGATCTTGGTAGTCTCTGTTAACACTGATAATTCAGCTTGGCAAATATTTATGGCCTTCCCACTGAGTGCCAAACGCTGTTCTGTATCAAATACTCTTGGGGTGCATTAGTAAACAAAGCAACTCTTCCCCTTGTGGAGCTTACATCATAGTGGGAGGAGACAGCAGTATATAATAAATGAGTAAATTATGTAGTAGACTAGAAGTAATGAGTGCTGGGGGAGAAAATAGAGCAGGATGAGGCTCAGGAGCACCAGAGCCAGTGTGTTGCAATTTTAAATAGGGCGGTCTGGGCAAGACACATGGACAAAGTAACATTTGAGCCATTGAAGAAAGTAGAGGAGTTACCCTTGAAGACATCTAGGGGAAGAACATTCCAGGTAGAGGAAACAGCCAAGGCAAAGTAAGAATGTGCTAGACATATTTGAGGAACAGTGAGGAGACCAACATAGCAAGAGCAGAGAAAGTAATGGAGTCAGAGCGACAATAGGAAGGGCGGCCACGCAGAGCCTTTGGAGCTGTGGAGACTAGATTGTGGGTGGAGGGGGTGGGAGAGCAAGGTAGGTTCCAAACAGGGAGGTCAGTTGGAGACGGTGTGGGAGTCCACGTAGAAGATGATAGGGGCTTAGACCAGAGCAGTAGCAGAGGAAGTGGTAGAGAGGGGTCAGTTCTAATTGTATTTTGACTGTAGAGCCAACAGATAGATTTCCTAAAAATTTGAGTGTGAGGTGCAAGGTCTCCTCCAGGGTTTTTTTTAACCTAAGCTACTAAAAAGATAAAGATGCCATCAATCAAGATAGGACTGATTGCATGAGAGCAGTTCTGTGGTGGGAAATCAAGGGCTCAGTTTTGGACATGTTGAATTTGAGTTCCCTTTTAGACATCAAACTGGAGATCTAATGTAGCAGGCAGCTGCATATACGAATCTAGTATTTGACAAGAGATCTGGGCTAGAGATGAGACTAGATGAGATCACACAGAAAGTGTATGCTTTGAAAACTTAACCCTCTGACCTTTAGCCAAGCCCAGTGTCTTCTGGGCCTTAGTTTCCCTAGCAGTCAGATGGCATTAATCACCCCAACCACTCTGGTGTGGGAGGCAGGACCCACCTGAATCTATTTGGAGATCATAGGCACCAGAAGTATATGAGATTATTATTGACAGCATAGACATCCCACTTACAGTGGTTTTTATTTAAAGTAGTGAAGTTTTGGTCTCATAAAATGGGGCTATAATACCTTTTCATGGGTTATTTTGAGAATTAGATGGGCTAATAGGTGTAAATAGCTTAGAATAATGCCTGGCCTATAGAAAACACTCAAATATTAGTTGTTACCATTTACCTCTTATAAATAGGTTTTCTTTGGATTTGATCTCACCTCTTTCTTCAGTGTCAGCCCTTCTAATTCACTCCTGGGTAGATACAAAAAGGAGCCTCTTCCTCCATAATAACTTCAGACACTGAAACAGATGACAAGAACATTCCCCTTCCTTTTAGCTAGAAGGACATCCTCATCATCATAACTCTGCTAATTGAGTCCCTCAAGGGAGCAAGTGGGGAGGGAGGGCAAGGGCATAATATGTAACCTAATCATTTGTACCCCCATAATATGCTGAAATAAAAAAAAAAAAAAGGGAGCAAGGACTCTCACTTCCTGAGCCCCAAACTGGCTCCATAGCTGTGACCAAGAGTCTTAAGTCTGATGTTTTATCATACTCCTCCCCTTCTCCCCCACCAACCCTCCCTTCCTCTAAGAAAGAATTTATTCTCCTCCCAGCCTCTGCCCAGGCGATGAGCCTCTGTCTTTGCAGTCTGAGTCATCTGTTTTTTCTTTTGTTCCAGGTCCAAGTATGAGGAAGACAGAAGGTGAGTGAGTCCATGATATGGTTCATTTGCAGCTTTCAAGGTGAGAAGGAGTGGGGTTGAGCTACTGTGCTTTTCAATCCTGCCAATCAAGGGGAGTCCCTAGTATTGTAGGACCAGGTGGGACCATGGTTCATACAAATTTAGTTCCCAGGTGTCTGTGTAACCATAATACATCGGGGTCATGAGGTCCAGGCCCATGATGCTCAGGTATCACTCCCTGGGGATGTGGGTCTGCCCCTCAGTGGGAAGACACCAAGCTGCCATCACTCCTAACATTCTCATACCTGGCTTCCTTTTCTTTACCCAAATGAGCTCTATGTCTCCCTTCCCACTTCTTTCCCTTAAACCACTTAAAGTAATGACCATGATAGTAAAATCAGCCTGTGTTAGTAGCACCCACAGAGAGGACCTGGGGTGCAACACAGTTCCTCTCTTGGCAAATATTATGGTTTGATTTTTTTTTTTTTTTTTTTTGCAGCCTGTGTACTTATCTCATTGTTTCTCATCAGCCAAGGTTAAAATGAGTCTACATTCCCTGGGTACTCATGGTTAATAAGGGAGAGAAGACGGGTTAGAAGTCTGTTTAAAAGGGGAATAAAGCCAGGACTGAAGCTTTGCTGCATTGAATCCACAAAGTGGATAATATGTTTATTGAATTGTGGGCCAAGTATATTTTTAAACACAGGAGCTCTGGACAGTTTCATCTGTGGCAATTGGAAGCTACTTGACAGCTCCTTTCCATCTCTTTTTCTCTTTGTACTTATAGATGGGAGACTGGTGAAGGCAGTATACCTTGGCAGAGGTTGGCATTTGTCCCTTCCCCTTGTTATCCCACACCCATACGTATGCCTGAGGATATTAGCTATGGACTTCAGCCAGTCCTCCAGGTCTGCCCCTGGCTCGACCATTCAGAGAATTGTTTGCTTATGTTTTAGGGAATTGGTATGTCTTTCCACTGAGCATCATCCACTCACTGGGAAGAGCTCTGCCTAGGGAAAGAATAAGATTTCTCCTGGGAATCATGCCAGCCAAGACTTTTAGCCGGCTTTTGCCTGCTGTCCCATTTGATTATTCCAGACTTCCCTTTGAAAGGGGTAGTTTGACCCATAAGTGCCCCTTCCCCACTTTACTGAGTGATGGTGATGAGATTGTTTGGAGCAGGGTTTTGGCCCTTGCCACCTGCTGCAGAAAAGCTAGCTTGAGCTTTCTGATTCATGACTCTGTTCCTCTCTTACAGTGCCCCCATGGACTTTGCCCTCAATACCTACATGAGCCATGCTGGGATCCATCTTCGAGATGCACGACTTTCCAACACATCTGAAAAGGCCCAATCAGCTCCTGACAAGGACAAGTGGCTACCCTTTTTCCCTAAGACCAAAAAGGTGACAGAGCTACCCTAGAAAATATCTTCTCTTGGTGCAGTTCTCTGTGCTGAGGTAGACTAGGAAAGCCATTTTGCAGCTGTCTAGCTACACCCATCCACCTTTGGACGTGGAGTCAGTCAGAACACCCAGGCTAGAGCAGCTCTCTCTCCCTTCCTCCAAGCCCAGGCCAGACGTGAACGTGCTCATTAGCACACAAGCATGAGTCAACTTGCCAGTTATTTGCTTAGGGCCAGTCCTGGGGCAGTGGCAGAGTTGATCAGCAGCCACATCTGGGTATTGGGACCTCCGCCAAACCCCAGTGTCTCTTGTCTCAGCAGAGCAGCAATTCCAAGAAAGAAAAGGATGCCTTGGAGGACAAGAAGCGAAATCCCATCCTCAAATACATTGGGAAGCCCAAAAGCTCTTCTCAGAGCAGTGAGTATTTGGGGAGCAACAGCCATAGCAACTCCCTCAGCCCTTTCACATACCAATATGTTGGTGGAATGCCTTCCTGTGTTTCTGGGAGCCACAGGCCCAAACTCTGAGATAGCAGCTTCCTCTCACTACTGCCACTTTCTCCCCTTGCCAAACCGAGTGCAGGCTCTTTGAGGTACAAGTGAGTGTTTCAGAGCCAAGGAAGCTATGACAGCCCCTAGGTCTTAATCTAGGAACCCAGGACCAGTTGTAGCTACTGACCAGCCATGCGGAGGAACATTTCAACCTTGGCAAAGATTACCCTGTGGACAGTAAATGCCCACTTCACCTTCATCTGTGGGATTCATCTGTATGCCTGCAGTCCTGTGTGTTGGGAGCAATTATAGGCCCTTGGTGAGGGGTTTGAGTCACTATTAAGTAAAACTTGGCAGATGGGGGGCAGGTTTGGGACCCAGAGGTTTCCCTAATGCCATCAGTAAGCCAAAACTCAATTGATCCTATCATTGATCTCTTCCAAGCCATGTGTCGTTTGTCTGGAAGTTGTTGCTGGCCCCTCCCAGTCACTATCCAAGTCCCCGCTTAGATCTGAAATTGCTGCATTGAAGGAGGGAGAAGGAAGGGATCTTCTAGATCAGCCTTGATTTTTGCTACTACCTTTTCATTTCTGGCTTGATGTAATTTTTATTTTGACTCTTGAAACATTAATTTGACTTTTCATGGTTTACTTTTGTTTTTGTTTGTTTTTCTTTTAGCATTTCATATTCCCTTGTCCCCTGTGGAAGGTAAAAGGACCGTTTTCTTTGGATTTGTCTTTGCATTAGCCCTGAATTTCCATCTCCCAAATCTTGTCTTCTCTTTTTCTTCTTCATCTTCTCCTATCCTCTTCCTCTTTCCTCTCTTTCTTTCTTTTCTCCATTTCTCTTATATGTTCCTCCTTGTTGCTAAAGCTGCTCTGTGACACAAACCCCTGGGGGGTGCCTACCGTCCTTATGCTAAGTATGAGACCCTGCCTGGCTGACCCCGGGTTCTCATGGGGCAGGGACCCTCCTCCCACAGGTAGAACTCTTTCTGGGTTCTGGTAAAGGTCAGCCTTCCAGTTCCTCTGGCGATTTTTCCACAGCTTGAGGCCTTTCTTTATAATTTGGTCACATCTCCATGAATGAGGTTCCAAAATCCAGGGTTCTGCATAACTGAAGGAAACCCTCACAAATTGAATTGTCCTCCAGAAGCACAAAAATACCTCAGATTTTTATTTTCAATGGAAATGATAAAAATCCTTATTTTTGAAGGTTTGTTTTTAGTAAATCGTGATCTCTAACAGTTTTTCTTTTGAGTATTTTTGTCTGTATCATCTACTTTGCCTAAGCCCTTCAGTGTAGCACTTCTGTCTCTTTTGACTCTTAACTGCCAGCACTGAATAACCATAGCAGTAAAAAAAAGAGTGACCCTAAGTGTATATTAAAGGACTTAATACCTTCCAGAATCTAGGTATTAAAAAAATAAATAAGGCACACATTAACCTACAAGAAACTTAGAACCTAGGTTGAATGTCACAGAATTAGACAAGTTCGTTTCTCGTCAAGGAGGTCCATATACATAAAATTAAGTGATTAATATTTTCTAGGTTCTACAGTAAATTTCAGTGGAAATTATTCTGTTTCAAGAATTCATTTTATGTAAAAGTGGCGATTAAAAATACTGTCTTCAGCCAGGCACAATGGCATGTGCCTATAGTCCCAGCTACATGGGAGGCTGAGACAGGATTGCTTCTGGCCAGGAGTTCAAGGTTGCAGTGCACCATGATTCCACCTGTGAATAGCCACTGCACTCTAACCTGGGCAACATAGCGAGATTCCCCATCTCCCCCAAAAAATAATCTTCAAAATTGTTTTGAAAGTTCTTAAACTTGTAGACTTCTTTTTAAAAATTATTGAAAAGAATGTTTATGAAACAATGAAAAAAAAAGAATGGCCTTGAAATCAAGCCCTTAGTTCTTAACACATGCTTCTCATCTGCCCTGCCAAGAACAGTATGAGGCAAGAGCAGGCATTAAGAAACTTGAGAGTGAACAGAACGCCCAAGGTGGGGAGGGAAGGTTGCTGACCCCAGGGCAGGATAAAGATGTGAGCATCCACCAGCTCTTGGAGTCACATTTTTTTGTTGTGATTTCTTGATTTGGTTTGGGGTACTAAAATCCCCAGGACATCAGACAAATCTGTATCCATACCTGAAGATGAAACACCCACCAAAGCTAAAAAGCCTCAATACTGACAGTTTTTGCCATGTAGGACATCAGCTGTTATCCCTGTAAAGGATCTGATTGTTAGTAACATATAATTTACCTTTATTTAGTCCCATTATCATTCAGAGACTAGAGGAAGAAGAGCAAGGGCTACTAATGAAACTTTACTCTTTTTAAAAATGTGTCCCATCCTACCTGTTTTTCCCCTGGTTACTCTGGGAAGTAACTCATTTGGTTATACCAGATTTCAGGATTACACCTGTTTCTTGCCACAGCTAGGGTGTAACTATGTCCAGAACACAATTGGGCTTTTTTTTTTTTTTTTTGTAGAAATAGGCCCAGGCTGGAGTGCAGTGGACTGATCATAGCTCACTATAACCTCAAGGCCCTGTGCTTAAGCGATCCTTCTGCCTCAGCCTCCTGAGAAGCTGGGACTACAGGCATGTGCCACCATACCCAGCTAAATTTTTTTTATTATTTTTTGTAGAGACGGGTCTTGCTATGTTGCTCAGGCTGGTCTTGAATTCCTGGCCTCAAGTGATCCTCCCATCTCACCCTCCCAAAGTTTTGGGATTATAGGCACGAGCCACCATGTGTAGCCACAACTGGGCATTTTCAAAGTGGCCCATGGGAGAGGGAATAATAGCAGACTCAATCCAGTGGCTTTCAGTTCTAGGATATTCCCAGTCTCCCACATCATCACCCAGCCAGCACAGCTCAGGACTGCAGCTGCACAGCTGACCCTGGAATCTGCAGCAGCCTCAAGGCCCAGATGCACATTCAGTGTAGGACAGGCAGATCTGGTCCTAATCTCCAAAATGGGAGTGATGGTAACAGCCCCTACTCCTAAAACATACACACAGCCACTTTCGCAGTTTTAAAAAAATATTACCCAAGCCACCTGCCTAATGTGAAGTTACAGACTTGGAAGAGAGCAGCTAAATGTTTTTCTGTTCTTTCTGGCTTAGAAATTTTCTTACGAAAGTCAGATTTTGAGACAGGAAGATTTGTAAGCTTGTATACATAGAATCTCTGAAGTCACGGGCAGAACTCTGTTAGTACGATTAGGATCAGCAGGATATTTATATTGCCTCCCTGGTTCCACTTATCCTTCCCACTGGTCTCAGGCAGAGCAGCATTTCTAGCCCCACCCCTGTTCTAATATTGCTGGGCTCGGAGCTAAGCTAGTTGACTTGAAGGTGAGCTCCTCATCTTTCTTCTCTCCTGCTGAGAGCCAGAGTGCCCTGGATCTGAGTTCTCATCTCCAGGATTTCTAAGTGGCATCAACTGTGCCTTTTTACTCTCCTACCTGTCCTCTCTGTTTTTTTGAATGAGGACTGTTTTGTCTTAGCTTTGAAAAAGGGCTGGAATTTGAATGGCAGAGAGCGATGTCTCTCCTCTTTTCTGCCTAGGTCATATCTCATGGTACTAAAGGGTCTGGTTCCGTAATGATGGAGGCTGTAAAGATGGAGTTCCAGAAAGAACAGGAAGGAGAGTCAGGGAAAAACAGAAATAATGAGCTCTAAAAGTAATATAAATTTGAGAAATGCCTGATATAATATGGCAACATGGCCAAATTACATGTAGATGTGTTTTTGGTCTTCCTGGCTATTTTTTTAACCTATATGTGGCTCTTAGGAAAAACCTAATCAAGATTTTCAAGCACAAGTGTCATGATAATAAAGAATGTGAGAGCCAAAAGAAAGCTCCATAGAAAATGTACTTCCAACCTCTCTCATTTCACACATGGGGAAAGAGTAGACCCAAAAAGTAGAATGACTGCCCAGGACCACCCAGCATATTCGTGGAAGAGCCAGGACTAGAAGCATGTCTCTTGATTCTGGGGCCTGTGCTGTTCTTATCCATGCTTGCTCATTACTCTGTCTTCTGGGATAGAGGGGAGTAAGGGTCTGAGACATCATGCCCAAACAGAAAGCGTAGTATCCTTCACTTTCTTTTTGCTTCCAGTCAAACCAGGCAATGTGAGGAACATCATTCAGCACTTTGAGAACAACCAGCAGTATGATGCCCCAGAACCTGGGACGCAGCGACTCTCAACAGGAAGCTTTCCTGAGGACCTGCTGGAGAGTGACAGGTAGCCATGGCTGGATGGGGCTTGCCAGCTGCCTGAGGAGGGGAGCATGGGCAGAGTTTGGCACTGGGGTTTAATTCCAGCTACTTCACCCTTCTCCACTAGACTGCAGGGCTCCCACGGTAGAACTTCCTCCCCTGCAGCGACATCTTCAGAAGACACGCTAAGTATTGATGATCAGGCCGGTGGAAGAGCAAGCAGATCCCCTGACCTTCCAGCCCAGGAAGCACATGTTTTTAGAATCTGCTTTGAAATCATCCCCTGAATACTCAGTAGCCTCTATCCCAAGATTGAGCTAGATTATATTATAAAGCAGCTAATCAGGAAACCCTAAATAAGGAGCAAAGGGAACTCCTGGGAAAAAAAAAAGCAAGGCAGGCAAAAGAAAGTCTGTGTGTAAAGAAGAGCACTAGAGATGAGCTGCTGCTGGTACTTTAAAGACAAGTGATGTAGCTGTGGGCAACAGGTGTCCACCTCAGCAAAGAGATACAAAGTCAATTGATTCAAAATGAGCTGCTCTTCCCTTCTCAAGAAGAAAAAACAGAATTGAGACTATGGTATCTCTCATATTCTCCATCTTTGGCCGTGTTCTAATTAGAATCCTTGTCTGGTATTAAAATATATTTTCAGACTTGATTGTCCTTGACTGTAGCAAGACAGCAGTCGAGTCATGTCTAAAATCTTATAGCCTACACTTACCTGTGGTCAGAAATACCCATGCAAGTCCCTCAGATCACCCTCAGGGTGTGGTAATGTGGTCTCGTGTGTGGGAAGCACTCAAGCCTGAGAGCCTGGGCTGGCAGAAAGGCAGGTGAATATGTAGCATTCTGAACATTCAGGCCATTTTGCCTTTGGAATAACTAATTATCAAACTATAAATTGAACCTTCCTACTTGAATGCAAGGGTACTCCTTTATGTTAAGCCTTTCTAAGCTTAATACATTATTAAAGATAATTGTGAGAACTGACAGAGATTAGGGAAGGTAAAAGTTAGATATGTACTGAGGGGAAAGATTGAGTTCTAACTTTAATAAAGAAATACACAAATTATGTGATTTCTGTAGTAGACATGATCTTATATATCAAATATGTTAACATTATAAGACATTATCAGCATTTTGAGAAAATATTTGAGACCATTTACAAACTCGCATTCTTAGCATTGCTAGGTGCATTTGCCCTAAGACATTCACTAGGATCCTAAAGATGCTCTAAGCAGAAGCCTTTGGATTGGATGATTGTGTACTCATTGGCAATCTTGGGAGAAGTAGTATTAGCAGCATGGTGGGTCAGAGACTGTTGTTGTAGGTGCTCAACAGGCATAAGATGCCCCCAGTTCTAGAGGGCAGTACCCTAGGAATTTTTGGCCAGAGATCGATTATATGCCTTACTTCTTGATGGGAGCATTGCTCACTTCTGGGTGCTTGAAGGAAGATCCTTAGCTCTGCAGCCCAGTATCTCCACTGGATGAGATTTGTCATGGTGCTAACACAACCCATTGAGGGCACTGGTGAAAAGTGTTTTGAATTAGTGTGGTTGGAATGTTCTGACAGACTTCTGGGGGTGAGTTCAGTAGGGGATCAATTGGCAGTATGCTTTCTAACCCTGCAGACAAACCCTCAGGACCCCAGGAGGTGAGCTCCATTTTGGATCATCTGGCAGTTTGGAGGCATGATGAATGGAGACCAAGACATTTGGCTCCCTCAACGCAGCAGCCTGCTGTGTTATTAAGAGCTCTCCAGACATTTCCAGGCCTCCTGTGGTCCTAGAAGCAGAGCAGGATGTAGATTAGTAATAATGTCAGCAAAGAACCAGCCCAACAGGGCCGCAGCAGGGGGGAGCTGGGGGTCAGAGATGCCAGCTGTCTCAGGCTGATGCACTGCAGGACACAGAGCTACACCCAGTCATCAGCATCTCACTGAGCCCTGGAGCATGTGAGGCTGAGCATGGCAGGCCTAGAAGCCAGTCCTGCCTGTCAGCAAGCAGGCCCCTTTAAGCAGACTCCCAAGGCTGTCTTCTCGCAAGAGAGGAAGTGGGAAGTGTAGGAAAGGTGCTATTAAGATAGGAATGGAAGAAATCTGCATCACAACTGGAGAGGCTGGAATCCAACAGCAGATAGAATTTTCTGACAGGCGGTATGGAGATCCTACAATGAGCATGTGAAGACAGTGACTGCACTTCTCCTCTAAGAGATCCACCTCAAGCAGTCAGAGGTGGGAGCTGACTGGTCCCAAAGCAGAGGCAAGATGAGGGGAAGGAGGTGGTACCTTGTAGTCCCTGGTGGAGGACTATGATGTCCACAGCTTTCCTGACAGGAACGTGGTGTCTTAGGCCTCTGGACACAAACAAGTCTATGTTAGCCCCAGATTTCATCTTCCTGTTAGGATCACTTCCTGATATGTCAAGAGGAAGATGACTCTATCCATCCATCAGGCTAGGCTAGGGACAGGGAGGAGTTTATAGAGCAGCAAAAATAGATTGTCATTGAGAAGCTTCTGTCTTCCAGGGGCTTTGGCCATGTGGGGATGGGATGGAAGACCTGCAACACTGAGGCACACTTGAGCTAGAGCAGCAGGTGAAAGCAGGCCAGGATGTAAGGTCTCAGAGTCTCTATCCCTTTCCCCTCAGTTCACGCTCAGAGATTCGCCTAGGCCGCTCTGAGAGCCTCAAGGGCCGGGAAGAGATGAAACGATCTCGAAAGGCAGAGAACGTGCCCCGCTCCCGCAGTGACGTTGACATGGATGCTGCTGCTGAGGCCACTCGCCTCCACCAGTCAGCCTCGTCCTCTGCCTCTAGCCTCTCCACCAGGTGGGCAGGGCTCAGGTGGCTCCACCCATTGATGTCTTGAAGCAGGGGCCAGGGATAAAGGGTTGCTGAGAGTTACATTCTCTCCACAGGTCTCTTGAGAACCCAACCCCTCCCTTCACCCCCAAAATGGGCCGCAGGTGAGTGATGGGCACGGTGGAGCCTCTGTTCGATGTCTCTGTTGTCCCATCTCTGCTAGGCTGGACATGCTTCTCCTCTTCATGGCCCACCGGTTTCCTGTGTGCGTACACGGGGCAAGCAGATTGGGCCAGAGAGGGCGAGACAAACCTGTGTGTGACTTCTTCCTCCTGAGTAAAGCTGAGCTGCCCTTTCTCCCCCAGGAGCATTGAGTCCCCCAGCTTGGGCTTCTGCACAGATGTCCTCCTTCCCCACCTCCTAGAGGATGATCTGGGCCAGCTGTCTGACCTGGAGCCAGAGCCAGATGCCCAGAACTGGCAGCATACGGTGGGCAAGGATGTGGTGGCTGGGCTAACCCAGAGGGAGATTGACCGGCAGGAGGTCATCAACGGTGAGAATGTGCACTTCCCCCCACCGCCAATCACACTGGTGTGGGAATAGGTCCAGAGCACCCAAGACACAAAAGATGGAAAAGAGGTACATAGGGTGGGGGCCCTTGGGAAGGACCAGGTCCATGTGGCCTGCTGCTGTAAGGTCCACCTTTGTTCTGGCCCCTGGGGTGAGAGAAAAGCTGTATGATCTGAAACCAGCACTCTTGTTCCTCCAGAAGTATACTGGTGTGGGGAGCAGGGTGGCGATTCTAGATAACGTGCTGATCTGTTTTCTCCCTGTCTTTCTACCCTCTTCATCACCCCCCTCAGAGCTGTTTGTGACTGAAGCTTCCCACCTGCGCACACTCCGGGTCCTAGACCTCATCTTCTACCAGCGAATGAAGAAGGAGAACCTCATGCCCCGGGAGGAGCTGGCCCGGCTTTTCCCTAACCTTCCTGAGCTCATAGAGATTCACAGTAAGGAGCCTGTGCCCCTCCAGAGTCCTCCTCTGCTAACCTTAAGCTTCCTGTTCCAGTTTGGCCCACCTGTCAGGACCTCCCTGAGTAAATAACCCTTGCCAGTCCTCCTTGGTGAGAGAAAGATCGATGGGCCACCTGAAACTAGCCCTCCTGTTCCCCCCAAAAGTAAAATGGTTTTCAGACCCTTCCCCACAGCACTGCTATCAAACATACCTTTCTCTCAGTCACAAAGTGTTTGGCAATTGAGCTCAACCCCAGGCAATTCTGTTTCCTTTCTCCTTGCCCCAGATTCCTGGTGTGAAGCCATGAGGAAGCTCCGGGAGGAGGGCCCCATCATCAAAGAGATCAGTGACCTCATGCTGGCTCGGGTATGGCTCTAAATTTTTCCTGCTTGGCCAGGAGATTGGAGGAGTCAGGTCCTGTTACCTAAGGCTGGGGAATTTGGCAGAGGAGGGGATAGGCAGAGGACTGGTCCCAGGCAGGGGTGCAACGCTAAGGCGGTGTCCATTCTGCCTTTTCAGTTTGATGGTCCCGCCCGAGAGGAACTCCAGCAAGTGGCTGCACAGTTCTGTTCCTATCAGTCAATAGCCCTAGAGCTGATCAAGACCAAGCAGCGCAAGGAGAGTCGATTCCAGCTCTTCATGCAGGTATGTTCTTGGCCATGCCTCAGTCTTCTTTCATCTCCATCAGGTTCACCAAGGACCTCCTGAACTTCTCCCCTCCTGGCCCCAGCCTCTCTCTTTCTCCACTGTGAAGAGTAACCCAGTGACACCCTCCCACACCCTCCCCCATGCCAGCCCTTCAAAAGCACTGACATGCTGTAGACAAAGAGACTGCTGTTTGTTGAAAAGAACCCTGGATTAGCAGTCAGAAGGCCTGGCTCACCCACCAGTGCTGGTGAGCACCGAGATAGATCTGTTTCCTTACCTTTAAAATGGCATTGATACCTGCCCTTCTGTTTTGACCATATTCCCTACCTTAGATTATTGTCTCCCTGCTGCAACCAACCTTTCCCTAAATATTTAAGGAAGAAGCTGCCACCACCATTTCTGAGTGACTCATCTGGGGTTAGGACCTATTTGGCATTTCCACACCCAGCTCCCAGCCACAGGTTAACATCTTCCTTCTAGGAGGCAGAGAGCCACCCTCAGTGCCGGAGGCTGCAGCTGAGAGACCTCATCATCTCGGAGATGCAGCGGCTCACCAAGTACCCACTGCTGCTGGAGAACATCATCAAGCACACGGAGGGTAGGGCATGGCGAGGGCAGCAGGCCTCATGTCAGAGCCTTGCTCTGTTTCTGCTTTGTGACCTTAGCAAGTCACTGGGCCTGTGGCCTTCATTGTCTTCATCTTTGCCCTGTTATGGGGAGTCTCGGAGAAGAAAATGAGTATGAAATGTGCTTTGCAAAATATGAGGCGAGAGGAGTAGGGGTCACCACCAGCCTCTTAGGGCCTTTGTGCAAATCCGAGGAGAGCGTCGAGTGGACACACAGGCTGGCACTTGGGGGCCTGGCTTCCTCTGGGTGATCAGACTCTCACACCAGGGGCCATGGCTGGATTTGAGCCCCCATTCCTGCCCCCTGCATTGCCCAAAAGACACAACCTATGTGCTAACACTAGAGGAGCAGGGAACCACCTGAACAGGGGGTCTAGCCCCAGGTTGTTAATGTCCCTGGGATCCTAGGTATCTTTTACTACCCTGGAATTCAGGACATTGGCAGCTTTCTAGAGGCCTAGTCATTGCCATTACACACAGTCCCTGTCTCCTGCATCTATAGAGCTGTTGTGGTCTAGGCTGCAATTCCCAAGAGCTGTCAGCATCTGCAGAGCAGTATTCTAAAACCTGAGGATGCTCAGTAACAGTTAACCTTAACACTGAGGTCCTCAAGTTAGGCCAGGGTGGCTTACTTCGACCCATACCTGCTGGTTTGAGACAAGCCAATCACTGTGGACAGAGGTAGGCAGATAATAGCTGACTCTCATCCATCATCTAACCACCTCCTCTGTCCACTGTTTGGTAGGTGGCACCTCTGAGCATGAGAAGCTCTGCCGGGCCCGGGACCAGTGCCGGGAGATTCTCAAGTACGTGAATGAGGCGGTGAAGCAGACAGAGAACCGGCACCGTTTAGAGGGTTACCAGAAACGCCTGGATGCCACCGCCCTAGAGAGGGCCAGCAACCCCCTGGCAGCAGAGTTCAAGGTAGGAGGCAGACACTCAACAGGGTTATTCCCTCACACACGTGCGCGCACACACACACACACACACACACGCGTGCGCGCGCTTATGGGAACCCTTAGGAGCAGAACTCTGGTTTGGGGCCTAGAGAGCCTTGGAGATAGGAGTCATGGACCTGTCTGTGATGAGGTGGCACCATGGGGCCCCGGAAGACACACACACCTCATTATCATTGTCACCCGGCCCTAGATGGACAAGAACAGATGGTCCCACCCAGTAAAGAGTAGATGTTAGAACTCAGCCCAAGAGAGCAGGGGTGGGGTAGGACGGGAGATAAGGTAGAGATCATCTGGGAGGGGATGAAGCTGGAGGGATTAACAGGAAAAGTGGAGTGTGGACTTCTCGGAAGGCGGATAGCATGTGGTAGGGGTGGATGGGAGACCCTAGGCCAGAGCCAGTGGTATATAACCCAGTGTGGCACGTGGCACATGACCTTATAGTGTCCTCTTTGCTTGTCTGTGTCCCCCACAAGAGTGTGGGGGACTGTTTCATGTTTACCACCAATTCCCAGCACTTTAGCACAATGTCTGGTGTACAGTAGGTTCTTGAACACTTGTTGAATGAATGAGTGAATGAATGGTGTCTCCTTAACAGAGCCTGGATCTAACAACCAGAAAGATGATCCATGAGGGACCCCTGACCTGGAGGATAAGCAAGGACAAGACCTTAGGTGTGTGCCAGGGGCCTGGGGATGAGAGAGAACCCATGGTGGGTGGGCTTCCCTGGGCTCTTCCCACTCTGTTTCCTAAGCCCTGGAACCTCTTGTTCTAGAGGGGTAGTAAGGTAGCCATGGAGGCACTTGGAACACGACTGGGGTGATAGCTTGGGACTGACTCCTTAAGAACAGAATGGGGGGAAGTAACCAGAGAGAGGAGTTGGGGTCACTGGACTCCCAGGGCTTCCTAGGCCTCTGGTCCCCCGCTGTGCCCATGAGGGATGAGTGGACAACAGGGAACAAACACCTCACCACCACCACACCTCTCCAGACCTCCATGTGCTGCTGCTGGAGGACCTCCTAGTGCTGCTGCAGAAACAGGATGAGAAGCTGCTGCTGAAGTGCCACAGCAAGACCGCCGTGGGCTCCTCGGACAGCAAGCAGACCTTCAGCCCCGTGCTCAAGCTCAATGCTGTGCTCATCCGCTCCGTGGCCACAGGTACCCAGGAGCAGATGGTCCCAGCAGGCCTGGGCTCCAGGGCCCTGATCGCTGTTACTTGTGTCCAGCGAGCACTGAGGGATGTGGGGCCAGTCTGGGCCTTACAGGACTTACCTGTCCACTTGTGTTGCTTTCCTCCTATTCTGACACAGTCTAAGCAGGAGGATATGGTCCAGGATGCGTAGGATGGGCCGGGTGGGGACCAAGATGAAGATAGACACCCTGGAGCGAGGGTGGTCAGCCCTCAAGGACAGTGCTAGTTTTGATGGGCTGTGGACGCCCAGGATGGGCTCAGGGGTCTGAGCAGGAGCGGGAAGAATGGGATTGGGCAGCATGAGGAGGACAAGCCTTCCTCGAGAGTGACCTGGGCAGAGCTTGGTTGCAGAAGATAGAAGCACCTTTGGCACAGAGCTGGGTCCAGTGGACAGAGGCGTTTCCGTGAGAAGCAGAACTCGTATGAGAAAGTGGTCTGGGCCAAGAGTCAGGCTCACGCTCTTCATCTAGGAGATGGGGGTGATAGCTACCCTACCTCTTGGGGTATCAAAAGGGATGATGGGTGTGAGAAAGTTTTACAAACTCAAAACACCATACACGTATCAGCCATCACTGTTGTTAGAGTGGGAGGGGAATGGAAGTGGGCGTGAAAGATGACCTTAGTGTGTCCCAGAATTGCCTCTGTCCCTTTTGTAAGAGGGTTCCAAGGGGTTCTCATGATCCAGATCTGTCTCACGTTCTTCATCCGTGTGAGGGGTCAGGGCGTGGAGTCCACACTCTGTCGCCCTCACCTAGACTGCAGTCACACCTGTCACCCCAATAGAAACCTCTACCTTCCTTTCCTCACACAGATAAACGGGCCTTCTTCATCATCTGCACCTCCAAGTTGGGCCCACCTCAGATCTATGAGCTGGTTGCACTGACATCATCAGACAAGAACACGTGAGAATTGATTGAGGGATCGCCCGTAATGCCGTCCCTTTGGGACCAGGGTGGTGTGTATGAGGACAGTGGGCAGTGAGGCCAGGGCTGGGCCCCAGAGCAGTACCTGGACAGGGAGTTGGGAAGGGACGTGGGAGGTAGGACAGGCATAGAGAAGCTGTGAGGGTCCCGCTGCAGGGAGAATGAGCTCCCAGCTGTCTTCCAGCTGCTGCCGCTGCTGCTTTCCTTCCTGCCTGCACTCCGTTCATCTAACTGCATGTTAGATCGTGCATCCTTCTCAGACGTTTGCCTCCAGCCCCTGTACCCCACCCAGGCTATCTACCCGCCCGGTGTTCCCTGACAGTGGCCACTGGAAGTGGCATGGCACCATGGAAGGAGACAGATTGAGTCATTTTCTCAACCTCAGGGTTTTAATCTGTAAAATGTGGATAATGAAAAAAAAAGAAAAAAAAAATGTGGATAATGCTACCTCTTAGAGAGTTGTTTGAGAGAGAAAACATATAGACTGCTTAGCACGGAGTATAACAGAGGGTTGGTGTCTAGTATATGGTAGCTGCAAATAATATAACCTCAAGGGAGCAGCCTGTGAGTACTGTGAGGGGAGGTGGGGACCTGCCAGGCAGAGAGTCCCTGGGGCAGGGCATGGAGAAGGGCCTGGCCTGGAAGCCCCGGAGCAGTGGGGTCAGTAGGGCATGGTGTACGCTATGGTCTTATTCTCACCACCAGTCTTTTCTGTTCCTGCTGAGCAACAGATGGATGGAGCTCTTAGAAGAAGCTGTGCGGAACGCCACCAGGCACCCTGGAGCTGCCCCAACACCCGTCCATCCCCTGCCCCCAAGCCGCCAAGAGCCAGCCCACCAGGGCCCCACACCCAGCAGGTGCAGTGCTTAGCACTCCAGGCCCCTGTGCCATCTCCACTCGAAGCCGCCTGTTTCCTGCTGCTTCTAACCTCTTTGCCCCCATGGGTGGACGGACTCAGCAGGGAAATGCTAGCAGGGATGGACAGCTCCAAGCTCCCGCAGATGGAGGAACAGGCCCTCACATTTCAGCCTTCAGTCCCTGTCTGCTCCTCTCCCTTAGCCTGCTACCTGGCTGTAATGGAGACTGTGCCTGAAGTGGGACAGGGGTGTAGTCCAGGGGACCAGAGAAGCTTGGCCAGCATCCACCCTCATCTCCAGGTTGCCAGCCAGACCAGGCAGGAGATGAGGCCTGACATTTCCCTTCTTGGATCCTCCTCCTTCCTTGCCCATTCTAACTCAGGAGTCCAGGGTGGAATTTTGTGACGTCTCAATCTCCTGCCTAGCAGGAAACCAGAATGCCCACCAGGTGATTTTTCTCACCTTTCATTGGTTTCTTCCCTCAGGCTAGGACTGGATGACTCGGAAGTGTTCCATAGTGGGCCAGAACCTGAGGAGCTGCCTGGAGGTAAGTCTGAACTGTCTGTGGGAGCCAACCCCGGCCATTTTTTTGTAGGCGTTAGGACAGGTGTAGGAGGGATGGGAGAGTCCATCAGGGCCCGGGGTATGAGGTTCTGATAAAAAGAGTAGAGAAGAGACAGTGTGAGATGAAGAAAGAGTCTAGAAGAGGAAGGAAAACAGACCGCACAGACGTAAGAGAATGTAAACTCACACACTTGACACGAGATTCCGACTCGGCCTCTCTGGTGACAGGTTTAGCAGTGGAGGAAGAGAGGAGCAGTGAGGTCGAGTCCAGGGGTCCCTGCGTGCTCCAGCCAGGGCTTGCTTTCAAGAGTGAGATGCACACTAAAACTGTGGGAACAGGAGGCGTGGGGCTGGGGGCGCTCAGAGGGTTTAAGGTGCAGTTGCTGGGATGGGATTGGTAGGGAGGTTCTCAGATCTCCCTGAGAGTTTGTATGTGAAATAAGTTAGAGTCTTGGGTTTCTAGAGAAATCTTGGGCTCCCTGGCTGGGTCCCTGTTCTGCTTCCTTCTGTTCAGAATGCTTTTCCTACTAACGCCCATACCTCCTTCAACTCTTTGTTCCAGTGTCCTCTTTGCAGTAATACCTTCTTTGCCTGCTCTGGTTTGTTTGTTTTTTAAGAGATAAGATCTCACTCTGTCACCCAGGCTGGAGTGCGATGGCATGATCACAGCTCACTGCAGCTCTGAACTCCTGAGTCCAAGCGATCCTCCCACCTCAGCCTCTCAAGTAGCTGGGACCACAGGCACATGCCACCATGCCCCGCTCCACCCTGTTCAATACTGTAACCAACACTCCCGATTCCCCCATACCCTGCTGTTTTTTCTTTTTTACTGTAGAACTTACCACCTTCTAACAAACTACGTAATTTACTTATTTTATTATTTCTTTATGTCTCTACACTAGAATTTAAGCTCCACACAGGCAGGGATCTTTGTTCTGTTTATAGATGTATACCAAGAGCCTGGGAAAGTGCCCGGCCTTAGGAAGGGCTCAGTAAACGTGCATAAAATGAGTCAGTCAGTGTTTCCAGGCCCTTGTATCCAAAGCTAGGCATGAGATTCCCCCAGACGTGCCCTCCCCCTTTCCCTGCCTCACACTCTCCTCTCATCCAAACAGGCACTGGGCCCCCGCAGAGGGTGCAAGGGAAGCACCCGGTACTGCTAGAGGATCCTGAGCAGGAGGGCAGGGTAGAGGAAGAGGATCTGGGTGTCCTGCCTCATCCTTCCGCATCCCTGGATGAAGAGAGCAGGGGCACCCTGACAAGAGCCCCCATCCACCTGGCCCTCCCAGGCCCTCTGTTCATGGAAGGCCTGGCTGATTCTGCCCTGGAAGATGGTGAGTGCCCCAAGGCCCTGCCATCAGTTCCTGGTCCCGAGTTGCGTAGCCAGTGTGAACTGGCAGACACCTGCACCCGCCACCTCCTCAAAGGCTCTCCCTGGTGTGCTAGAGGAGAGGTGAATGCAGAGACAAAGTCACTCCCCGCGCCCCCACACCCACCAGCTAGTTGGCCAGAGCCACCCTGTGCCTGAGGCAGGTTCACCACCTTGGGGTGTGCGGGAGGGGAGCAGTGATGCTCCTGCCACCTCTGTGCTCTCTCACCACTGGCATTGTGCGCGGCCCTGTGTTGGGAAGCCATCACCCTGTTTCCCTCTCCAGTGGAGAACCTGCGGCACCTGATCCTGTGGAGCCTGCTACCAGGTCACACCATGGAAGCGCAGGCCGCTGGGGAGCCGGAGGACGACCTGACACCTACACCTTCTGTCATCAGCATCACCTCTCATCCCTGGGACCCGGGCTCCCCAGGGCGAGCTCCCACTGGGGGTGAAGGGGACAGTGCCCAGCTCCCAGGGCCAGAGGGGGGACCAGAGCAGGAGGATGTGGCTCTCAGTTCTCTGAGACACCTACCCCCAAGGACCAGAAATTCTGGGATCTGGGAGTCTCCCGAGCTGGACAGGAATCCAATTCAAGAGGCTTCAAGCACAGAGGCCACAGGAAGTTACAAAGTTGTGAGAAAAGGTAAAATAAATTGGAGTGTCCCCTGGGGAGACAAATACCCAGCTTTGCTAGGGTAGAGGCACATCTTCCAAACAGCCTCATCCTTCCGCATCTTTATCTCGGGCACTGTGTGAATAAGCTTGGATCGGGTCCTGGGAGAAGGAGACATGTCGGTACCATGCAGAGGCTTTGCAGTCAGACAGCCTGTCTCTGCCACTTCATATCTTTGTGACCATAGATAAGATTCCGAATCATCTCTGAGCTTCGTTCTGTAACGTATAAGGACGTTCCCTACTGCCTGGCACAAATCAACCACCAGTGCAAGTTTCAGTCAGTGTTCTTCCCTGGTCTCCCAGACCTAAGAAAAAGGTGCTTTTCTCAGGAGCCTCAGACCCATCACTTGCAACCCATCACTCCAGATGGCAGCGCAGAGGGGAAAGGTGGCAGCTGGGACTGGAGAGGCTGGGAAGACACTTGGGGATTGAGGGGGTGTGGCAAGAGGAACAAGGTGGTGGGGAGGGCACCCCACATCAGGGAATACCGCGAATGGCTTCGAGACAAGGAAAGCCAAGACCGGCTCACGGGGAGGCTCAGGACAGGTTTGTGTGGCCAGAGCAGTGAGCCCGAAGGAGGGAGATCCTGGCACTGGGAAGGGTAGTCTGAGGGAGAGAGAAGGCTGGTCTGAGGAAGGTGGCAGGAAAGGCAAACTGAAACCTGGAGCACTCAGGAGGGCGGGGGGCGGGACCGTGACAGGGGCTTCCCATCCTCCCCTTCCAGTAGCATTTTTCATTCCATCTGCCCAAGGTCTGCCCTCTCCTGGGTTTCTGGGAACTGACCTTCTTCCTTTCTTTCTCTCTCTCCCTCTCTCTCTCTCTGTCTCGGTGAATCGGTGGAAAGTTCTCCGCAGCTCCCTGGGATGTAATCGTGTTTGATCTTGTGTTCACCTTGTTCTTCCCTTTTTCTTTTTCTCCTCCCCCACCCCCACTTCTTTGTCCTTCTCGTTCCTCCTCTCGCTCCCTTCCCTTTCCTTGTCTTTCTTTCTCTCCTCTCCCTGGTGGTGGTGGTGTCGGTGCAGCTGAGGTGGCAGGCAGCAAGGTTGTCCCTGCACTACCAGAGAGTGGCCAGTCAGAGCCTGAGCCACCCGAAGTGGAAGGCGCAACAAAGGCTACGGGTAATAACCTTCTCCTTGGAGCCAGAGGCAGGCCAGGACTGGAGTGGGGCGTGTCGGGGCAGAGCTGGGCCTCGGGAGTCAGACCCCCACCCGCAGTCACACCCACGCCCACAGCTCCCTCAGCTGTCTGGAATGGGTGAGGAGTAGGACGTGGGCCTGAACACAGGGAACACACCGACCCTGTGCAATCAGTCTGACCTCCAGCTTTAAGAAACCACCTGTCAGGAGCTGGGCAGCTCTTTCTAGAGCCCAGGGTCAAGCAGCCTGTGTTCAGTTGTGAGATGAGGCGGGGACGCCTGGCCTGGTGTCCAGGGCCCAATGTCCTCATCCTGCTGCCCTGAGCAGCCTCTTTCCCACGCCAGCTGCCACTCCGTGTCTCTGTGGAAGGAAGCTTACGTGGTGCCCAGGTTCCTCGGCGGGTCGAGGTGCCTGCAGCAGATTGTGGTGTAGATGGCAGTTGGGGTGGGGGTGGTATTGAAGTTCATCACCAGAGCTCGAGCTGAGGTAGGGAGAAAGGGGGCTACGCCTGCTTTTTTCCAAAAGGGCCTAAAACTAGTCCAACATCTGTTTACCCTTCCCCTCAAGGAGTGGGAGCCACTCCCTGTTTCCCCAGATGAAACACCGCAGCCCTGCCACTTCTTCCTTCAGCACCCCCACTCAGCGTCTCCCCGGCATGGGCCAGACTGAGCACAGTGCCATCTAGAAAGGCCCTCCAGAGCAGAGGGGCTTTAGGAGGCTGGTAGGCAGCAGGAGTGGGGCCAGCGTGCTCCGAGTTCCTCTACAGAGGGCTGCCTTGGCCCTGTTCTGCCAGGCGGCTGGGGAACACCAAGGGAGTGGGAGGATGACTTCGACTTCTCTGTGTTTGCCTCCTAATCTCTTTCTCTTACTGTGGGGACAGGGAACTGCTTTTATGTCAGCATGCCAGCAGGACCCCTGGACTCAAGCACTGACCCTTCAGGGGCATCCATGAGCCCCTCCCAGCCTGACAGCCTCCCTGCCTGGCAGACAGAGCCTCGGCCCCAGCCACGGGGAGGCAGTGGAGATCAAAGACGCCCCAGCCGCTCTCCCCCGAGCCTGGCCCTCAGGGATGTGGGCATGATCTTCCGTACCATCGAGCAGCTCACTCTAAAGCTCAACAGGCTCAAGGTGAGAGAAACAGGGCTTGGGTTCCTGGAGGCCTTCAGTCCATCAGCCCAAGACCATTCATTCCCTATGAGTGAGGTGTGTGTCTTCAGGGGAGCCCTAGCTCCTGTCCTGGCCTGGGGCTCTTGCCACAGCCCACCCAGCCACCCTGAAATCACAGCTCCAGCCCCAGGGCCCAGCACAGATCAGAGAGTGACCCGTTCCCCCAGGGGCCTTAGGAATAGGAGGACTTGAACAGACATTCCCCCTACAACTCTTCCAGGACATGGAGCTGGCCCACAGAGAGCTACTCAAGTCCCTTGGGGGAGAGTCGTCAGGTGGCACCACACCTGTAGGCAGTTTCCACATGGAGGCAGCTAGATGGACAGACAACTCCCTCTCACCTCCAGCTAAGGAACCCCTGGCCTCTGACTCCAGGAACAGCCATGAACTGGGGCCCTGCCCTGAGGATGGTGAGTAAAGCCAGTTCCCACTTTGTACTTGACATGGGGAAGAAGTCCACCAATTCAAGAGGAAATGTCACCAAACAGTGTGAGAGATGGTGGTTCTGAGGGTCTTGGTTCCCTTTGAGTATAACTGATTCATTCCCTCAGCTTCAGAAAGGGATCCTTTTAGGGAAGCCCTACAGAAGCTCTCCTACAAATGGGAAACTTAGAGTTGAACCCTCCTTTTCCTTGTGCTATGGAGGAAGGAACCACATGGAGCCTGGTCTTACATCCAACACGTTAAGTGGTTCAAACCATATTGGATCCTGGGAGGCCGAGGTGGGAGGATTGCTTGAGCTCGGGAGTTCAAGACCAACCTGAGCAAGAGTGAGACCCCGTCTCTACTAAAAATAGAAAAAATTAGCTGATGTGGTGATACACATCTGTAAGTCCCAACTACACAAGAGGCAGAGGCAGGAGCATTGCTTGAGCCCAGGAGTTTGAGGTTGCTGTGAGCTGTGATGACGTCACTGCGCCCTACCCAGGGTGATAGAACAAGACTGTTTCAAAAAAAAAAAAAAAATCCATATTGGGTGGGCCAACAACATACCTAGGTTCTAACTCAGAAAGACAAAGCACTTACCTACTTGATCTAGGGGTTTATGGGGCTGACAGAACAAAAGTGGGGTTCAGGAGACAGCTTTTTTCAGGCCCCACAAGAAAATAGAGTTTCTGGAAGATGAGGGTGCTTTGTCACAGATGGATGGTGCTGAAGCAGCTGCTCTCATGAGCCTGAGGACTTTGTAGGCAAAATATGCAGAAGTGGGTCATCTCAGGCCTGGCCAGTTCTCACTGTCGTCATCCTCCCACAGGCTCTGACACCCCCCTGGACGACAGCGCAGCAGACACATCCTCGTCACCAGGACTATAACCATCCGAACCACAAAATCCTCTGCATCCCCACTCCTCCTTCAAGGACTGGTCTGAGACCGGGGCACAGGGTGGGGAGACCCCAAACCTCCTCACCATGGAAGAAGCAGTCGGGGAAACTGGGATCCAGCCGAGGCCTAGGGGGGAGACCCGCATGTTGCTTGGTCTGCTCAGATCGGAGTCAAGTTTCAGTGTCTTTTTCCCTCCCTCAATTCAACCCTCCAAGGCCCTGCGTCCCCTGAGCATGCCGACTGCATCTGAAAGGCCCGCACTCGCCACAGTCTGCCCCTCGCCCCACATACACACGTAGGCGTGTACACCGGGACGTGCGGCGCCCTCAGACATTCAAGTGAAAGGAGGAGGCTTCTGTGTAAATGCACTTTCTTCCTCCCCCATTTCTCTACGGGACCCCAGGCAGAGGTGGGTGCCTCTCCTTCTCTTTGTCACTTTGGTTTCCTATAAATATGTATGTACTGTATGTGCATCTTTGCTATTGTAAATAACTTGGACCGTTTCTCTGTTCTTGTTCCTGGAGTGCTGGAGATCTTCTAGTTAACAGCCCAGCTCCAGGATCAGGGAGCCAGACCTGAGTGTCCCTGTCCCCTGTGGCGGGAAGGTATCCCGGCTTCCAGCCCCACCTAGCTCTAGAGCCATCCTCTGCAGCTTGGTGCTGAGCTACTCCCTCCCTCCCAGGACTTCTCATCTTCACAAGATGGGGACTCGTGGGGAATCTCTCAGCCCACCTGTGTCCACCCTTCCCTATCCCCATAGAGAACCAGTGTCGCAGGTACGGAGCTGAAAACTGGGCCCCAGGAGGTGGGGATATGGGATCTGAATGCTAGAGTCCCTGAATTCACCCAGGACCACCCCAGGGCCACTGCAGCATTGGCCCTGTTGTCACCATGTCCTCTCCCCACTCCCCCGGTGAACAGAATATACACACTGTGCTAGGTGTATATATACATATATATATATAAATATATATATAATATATAAAATACAGATATGGAAATGACTGTTTTGCTGTTAAGATAATGTATACTCTTTTATTTTCTTCCTTTCATGGTTAAGATTTTTTTTTTTTAAGAAAAGTTAAATATTCTTCAATTGTGGTGGTGTATGCGTGATTCTTGGAACCACTGTGATAAAAGATGTTGTGGTTGTTCCCTGTGAGACTAGTTAGGATGTTGGGATATTACCTCAGACCCCCAGACCCAGGTCTTGCTGTGTTCTCTCCCAAGGCTTCAGATGTGTGCTCACTGAACTAGGTGGCTGGGCACACGAAGCTCTGTAGCCCCCACCGAGAAGACCCGAGAAGACACTGAACTCAGTGTCAACCCACATGCACATGTATGTACAAAAGAGCAGTGGACCCGGAACCAACACCTCTCATGAGCCGCCCTCAGTGAGCCTCGGGACTCTAAAGGCAAAACCTAAAGGACAGGATCGTCTCAGGCCTGGCCAGTTGCTCACTGTCCCTCCACATCCTCCTGCAGATCAGCCCATCCCAGGACTGCAACCATCCATACCACCTGTGTCTCTTGGCCTTCGGTGGTGTTGGATTAAGCTACAAATTTTCTTGCAGCCCCAGATATCTCATAGTCTCACTCCTCGTGTCATGACACTAAGCTCTGCCCTCGTGAGTTTATTGGGCGTCAGGATTGACACGACATCATTTGAGATGGAGTGTCGGGGTAAGGACGAGGGCTGTGAGGGCTCACCGAAGCTTTAGAGGACGTGGGCAGGGACAACTGTGTTGTTGTATGTTGGGAATTCAAAGAAATGACGGATTTCCCCCAGAGAAGCTCAGCAGCTGGCTGCAGAGGCGGCCGAGGCAGTCAGACCACAAGGAGGCAGACGGGAGGCCCATGAGAGCAGCGGAGCCACACACAAAGCGCAGGCAGGACAAGGGAGAGCCGGGGAAAGGAACGAGGGAGGTGGGGGCTAGGGAACGTGGAACGGCTTAGATCCGCTCAAGGTGAGGACTGGTCCCTAGTGATGTGCACCTTGTCTGGACGTGCCCTGTAGGCTGCAAGTAGGCTCCCCGGGAGCCAGTCCTGTGCTCTCCGGGCACTCCCAGCTTACCTCAGTGGAGACAGCACCGTCACGTCTGGCTGTCCCTGGTTTCACATTGCCAACTTCTGCAGGCAGTGTCGTTATGGTTCAAGTTTAATGCTTCGCCTTTTCTACGTAGACGCCTGCCAAGCCTTTGTGCTCTTTCTTAAGTCGGCCCTCACCTCTCCTCCACACCAAACCAGGGTCAGCCAGATAGGGAGAAGCAGAATTTGAGGGAAGGGGAAATGGAGAATTGAGCCTGTGCTCGATTCCTCTGCCCTACCTACTCCTCCTACCTCCCCTCCCACAGTTTGTGTGTGTCAGTTATAATCCCAATCCAAGCCTTTCTGAATGCAAACCTTGGCATAGCACGTATCCCCTGGGGAACTCAGACTCTTGCCTAAGCAAGAACTAGCCCTCAGGAGCCAAAAGCGCAATGCCCCTGGCTGGCTGATGCCAGAGGGGCTGAGATCATCCCCAGCAGAACTGTAAAGAGATTCAGACCATCCTTGTCTGCCATTTCTGGCCGTATAACATGAACAGACTCAGAGTCCAAATGTTCTAAGTAGTTCTGGAAGAGAGTTTTCAGACAACCGCAAGGAAAAGTATAGCAATAGACTGTTATTAGTCTGACCTCCCCAGGGAGGTCAGCCCACAGGGACAGGTTTTGTGGCCCAGAGTCTCAGGGAAGCAGATGGGAGGGGTCTAGGTGGAGACAGCCATGGCCTCCTCCTCCCTGAGCTTGGCCTTGATGGGGTCCCTTGGCAGCATCAGCTCCTGGATCATGGTGTACGCAGGACATTGCGAGGCGAAGCAGTTTTTCTGAAAGGAAAAGGAAGGCTGGCAGCTGACTAGGAAAGACTAGTCCCCTAGGAATAAAAAAAGAACCATCTTAGGACAGAGTGGGGCAGGGGCTGGGGACATGGAAAAAAGGCAGAGTGATTAAGACTGCTGATCTTGTAAGAGGAATGGAGGTTATGTTATCATAAAAAGAATCAGGGAAACTACAGACTTTCCTTGGAAACGGAGACAGAAGTTGCCTGCAGCAGCGGCGGAAGCAGGAAAGAAAGATGGGGACTCACCGCCAGGGACAGCCACAGTAGCCCCACTGGGCCCTTGGATGCACTCTTGGCCTTGGAGAACTGCACCTGGTACTTCACTGCAGCGAGGAAGCCCTCCAGCCCCACCTCTGTGATGCTGTTACCTGGTGGAAGATGCAGATGGGGGTGGCCTCTTACACCACCAGCCTCATCACACCTGACACCTCCCCGGACACCCTGAGCAGCCTGGCTCCTCCAGCCCCCCAGCTCCAAACCCGCTGGCCCAGGACCACCTTCCTTTACTCCTCTGACTTCCCCTCACACTTTCCATCCTCCACCCGCCCACCATCTTTCTCTCTAACCCCTCATGACTCATCAGCACTTCCCCTCACCCCCAGGCCCCATGCTAGAGGGCCTCTGACAGCATGGCGCCCAACGACGGGAGGACCAGGTCTCCATGGGCACCCTCATGGCAGGATGCGGCCCAGGTAGCCTTGTGGTAGGAGGGCAGGGGAGGCAGGCAGACATACGGAGGAGGTTGAGGTGCAAAAGGACCTTGTTTCCAGGCATGAAAACTTTCCCGTCTCGGTGCTCCACAGGCTCCAGGAGAGGGTTGACCACCTCAGTAGCTTCAGCAACCAGCTGCTAAAGCAGAACACTAATTGCAGCAGAGGGGAGGGGAGCTGATCAACAGGCCATGCATTCATGCAACATACATGTTTTGAGTGCCGACTATAGTCCAGGCTTTGTCCTAGGTGCTGGGGATACAGAGATAAATAAGCCCATATCCTCAAGAAGCTCCTTCGTGTGGGGGAGCCAGAGAGTGAGAGAGTAACGCAGTACAGTGCGACACCTGAGAGGAGGCGGCTCAGAGCACTGTGGAAGCACAGAGGGGAGACAGGTAGCCCAGTGTGGGGAGCCAGAAACGGTCTCGAGGAAGAAGTGGCCTGAGCTGAAATGTGAACGTGCAGGGATGTTGGCAGGTGAAGGTGAGGAGGAAAGTGGGCAAAGAAGGTGGCAAGTGCAAAGGGTCTGGAGGTGTGGAGAGTATGTTGCATTCAGAGCACCCAGGGCAATGGGAGTGGACTGGAGGAAGGTGACACTGAAGACAAGGTGAAAAGAAATTGCCCATGCTAGTGAGAAATAGCCTAATCAGGACGCAGAAACAAAAGCGGGACTTGAAAGGCAACCCCCCCCCCCATGGGAACTTTCTCTTTTGTAAGATCTTGTCTTGAGTGCCAGAGAGGATTCCTGGGGAGGAGGGGGTCCATCTGATGGAGGAAACAAAATATAAGGACAAAGACAGGCCCTTAGGCAGCTGACAACTAGAGGGGTGCGGTGTGCTGGAGGTAACCCAGGGAGATCTCTGAAATAAGGAGCAAGTTGGTCCAAGTTGGAAGGGGAAAGGAAGGACCCAAGAGGCAGAGGAGAAAGGCTTGAAGAAGGCGCCATGACTATGAAAATGCCCTGCCTGCCTTGGGGAGCGGCCGATGGGCAAAAGAGAACATACTTTGTTCCTGTGCAACTGTACGAGCAAATGACGGGGGTGCTGATGATGAGCTGATGGCCTCTGGGGACGTAGCCTGAGTTGAGACAGTGGATCCAAATGTAGGCTACTAATAGACAATAGCAGAGGAGAAGTAGAGGGGCCTGTCCAAGTCAGAATGGCGTGGGCGGAGGAGAAGGGGCACTGAGCCCCATTATTGTCACCGCAAGCCCAGGTTGGATGGGAGGGGGTTTCAGGTGTGGCTGAGACAGGAATGGAGGACAACATTTTAAGGTAAGTGGCTGCTGCCACAGTACAGGGCTGGAGACCTCACTCCAGGAGGAACTGGGCTGAGAGCTCCTGGGCAAGCCTGGAACACCAGGGACGTGCCCCCACCTCCACTTCTCTGGGCAGCTTACCTCCGACTCCGGGAGAATGCTGCGCTTCTCTTTGCTCCCGGTCTTGGTCCCCTTTCCCTTGGTTGGCTTCTGCTCAGGGATGGTTACCTCTAGGGCCAGAAGACCAGAATGCACAGTGCACACTTCTGCTACCACTCAGGGTCCCCAGAGAGAGCGGGCCAGGGAGGCAAAGAGACTCCCCGGACTGAGAGCTCTGAGTTTGGGTGTAATAGAAACGCCGGGGGTGAGGGGCAGCTAAGCCACAGTGTTTCTCGTCTGAGGACTGGGCCACAAGGGTCCAGCCCCAAGAAAGGGGACGTGGAGAGTGGCGGGTCAGGATGTCCAGGCTGGGTAGGGCTTTCCACATCAGCTCGCTGTGAGAAGGAAGTAAGACCCAGAGGGACACTGCAAGACTAGCTCCAGGCAGGCACGTCCAGGCCCAAAGCAGCCTCCTGCATCCTGCCTCTTCCCTCCACACAAAGGTGCCAACACTTACTCCCCTTGCCTGCCTTTGTGGTGTCTTCTTTCTTAGGGGTTCCTTGTGTGGGCAACTGCCCAGACCCTGATTTCTCCACTTTCTTGACCACTTCCTGTGGGGGGTGTGAGAAGAGAGATGAAAGTCCTCCCTCCCTAGGGGCAGGGGAGCAGGTGTGGGAAGGCGGGGGTTGGGACCCTCCGGGCGGCCTCCTCTCCACCGCCATCTGCACACCACGGAGCTCCCGCTCCATCCGCCCAGTGCCCAGGGCTCTTCCCACAGCACACCTACCCCCGGTTTGTCCTTTTTCTTGCCCAGGCCCTTAGGGATTTTCATCGTCTGCATCTTGTCCATCTTGTCTGCCAACGCGATACTGCTGAGCCCCGTCGCCTGGCTCTTCTCACGTTCCGCTTTGGAGTCCGTGTGTCGAGAGGAAGAGGGCTGTGCTCACAAATGGAAGCGGATGGAGGAGGAAGCCAGGGCCCTGTCCTCCATGGGGGTTCGGGGGCGGCAGCACCCTCCCCACCCACTGCCCTACCTAAACGCTAAGATAAT